AAAAATAATTGGAAGGGTTTAGGGGGCTACTAATATGGATGGGGAAGAGGGGTAGGTAGAAAAATTATTGGAAGGGGTTAGTGGGGCTACTAATATGGATGGAGGAGGGGGGAGGTAGAAAAATAATTGGAATGGGCTAGGGGGGCAGGTAGAAAAATAATTGGAAGGGTTTAGGGGGGCTACTAATATGGATGGGAGGAGGGGGAAGGTAGAAAAATAATTGGAAGGGGTTAGGTGAGTACTAATATGAATGGAAGGGGTTAGGGGGTTACTAATATGCATGGAAGGGGTAGGTGGGGTTCTTATGTGCATGGAAGGGGTAGGGGTGGTTCTAATATTCATGGAAGGGGTAGGTGGGGTTCTAATATAAATGGAAGGGGTACAGACTAGTAGTAAAATGTATGGAATGCACTTCTGAAAGTGTCACTGAATGGCAGTTAGGAAATGTGGTCACCCTAAGTCAGGGGCAGTATTACACAATCTGTATGTGTATAAAAAAAAAATATAAAAGTAATCTGCAAAGTACAAAATGTTTGTGTCATATGTCGTGCTAAAAATTAAGCTAGGAATGTGCAAATTTTTTTATTTTTAAAAAATTATTTTTAGAATAATGATACAGACATTTTATTTCTTACATTTGTGATGATTTTTTTCCCCCCTCTATATTCAAGGGACACTATAGTCACCAGAACCACAACAGCTAAACGTAGTAGTTCTGGTGTCTATAGCATGTCTTTGCAGGCTTTTTAATGTAAGCACTGCCATTTTGTAAAAAGGCAGTATTTACATTACTGCTGCGGAATACCTCTAGTGGACACTCAGATGGCCACTTGAGGGGCTTCCTAGTCGAGACATGAATGCCGTCCTATGAAGTATCTGCACATGTGCGACAAACCTGCGCATGCGCACCAGTGAGCAATGACGTTTCTGAATAGAAGCGTTTTATTGCTCCCTGCTCGCACCCTCCTATATCGTCATTTACTAGCAAAGTAATGCAAGTATGAATGAAATTTCTGACCACCTATGCCATTGTCATATTACAGAGAATCCCTTAATGCAGTGTTTCCGGTGTCTACAGCCTGTCCCTGTAAGCTTTTCACAAGAAAAGGCAGTATTTACATTGGTGCATAGCAACACTTCTAGCAGCAGTCACTCAGACCGCCACTAGAGGTGCTTCCTGTGTCAGTGCTGCACGGTGTGGGCACAGGCGTTCAACGTCTCCACACCTTGCATGGAGGCGCTGAACGTTTCCCAGAGAGATGAACTGATTCAGTGCATCTTTAGGAGGAGATGCTGATTGGCACAGCATTTTGCTGTGTATGCACAATAGGCTCCAAATGTTTTCCCATAGGAAAGCATTGGATTTGCTGAGATTATCAAAATTGACCTCAGCCACGACCAGCCATGGAGAGACCATCTCTGCGTGTGAGAAAAGGTGAATAAACTCCCCTTTTCAGAGAGACCTACGGGGGACCAGGGACCTAAGCAGCCACACAGGCACTGTACAGCCAGGAATAGATTTCCTTTACATACTATGTTCTCAAGGAGAATTGTTAAATAGATATCATGAAACCAGAGATAAAATTACGAAAGCTTAATTAGTAATTGTTATTTATGTTTGTTAATTATCTCTATGAAGACAAAAATATACACATTTTGAAATACATTTGCAACATTTTGCATTACTACAATTTGGTAAAGATATAATGTAAAAATCTATTATGGCTTAGATATGATACGTAGATAGTCTACTGTACTTAAATGTTTACACCTTTTTACATTTAGGCCAGACATTTGGATGCAGTAATCCTTTTCACCTACTTAATAGGTGAGATCTGCATTAATATACCACTCAATTTTACATTGTAAAAACTGCCTGTAGGAATCTTTAATCGTGAGCCAAAAGAAGCCTAAAGTTGTCAGAGTGATAAAGTATGCATAAGTATGCATATTATAAGAGAAATGCGATTAGTAAACTCTCCATACTAGCAGTCTGAACATTCTGCAAAGATGAGGAGTGTTGTAACTGACTTCTGGGCACGAAGCCAAGTGCAATAAAAACAAATATCCACATCATTGCATCCAATTTTAGAAACATATAGATACAATTAAAGGGACAGTAAATTGTAGATAAAATAGATGTTTACACATTTAAAATTCATGCACACCAGGATACTTCATATATGCCAAGCTAATGTAATACATAAGTAATTGTATCTATCGACAAATGGTTTTCATGTGAATGTATGGAGCTGTAATGCATGCTATTTTAACATTAGTTTGCTTGCAGAAGCTAAAATTCTAAATGTATGACTGGTAATTGTGCTAGCAGGACAACTTTAGTTCACATGAAAATTTCCTTTTTTTTTGTCTGTCTTTTTCATAACTCTTTCTTTACTGATATTGCATGGGTTATAATGCTCCAAGGACCCAAGATCCAGTGCGTGCAGACACTAAAATTCTAACAATGATCCCATTTGAGACAATTACTGGATAAATATTTGCCAATTACTCCATGAAGAAAATAGCAGTTGTCACCCCTTATCCAGCGTTTCTAAACATTAAAAGCCCTCAAACCAAATTCAATGCAAGGTAAATAGTGAACACTGTCAGCAATACTCACTAAACTGTAAATGAACCTGGTATTTGCAAACTGCTGGAGATTTTCTCGGAGCCCTTTCCATTCTTTTGGCCTTAAATCTGCGATTTACCTGGTGAGTTGTCAACAATTAGTAGAGATTAGTGAGTAAACGTGTTTGAAAAAGGCTTGAAGGTAAGGATATATTGTGCACCCAGAATCCTTTGAATCCTGATTTCTTGGAGACAAAAATACATTTTAATCCCTTGTTCAAAATGTCATTGCCACGACAAGTTTTTCTTTATATTTTTTAGGTATTAAGTCAACAGAAAACAGGATGACAGCAAGAAGAAGCTGTAGACATCAAGGTAAGTGGATTCATTAAAGCTCCAGCCCTCTCAGCAAAACTGAAATGATTTTAATACAGGGAACCAGACATTCAAAGACACACTGCACCCATAGCCTCTCAGAACCATAACCACTTATATGATCTGTAGAAGTTATAGCGCTTGGAGAGTTCCTATAATATGCTGTTTTTGTAAAAAAGAAAGGAAGGAAGGGGGAAAGATGACGTCTACAGATGGAAACATTACTAATAGATGCATATAATATGCATATTATGGCAGAGATATCTATTAGATAATCAGACCCTTAAAGAGTTTATCAACACAATTCAAGTAAAATGACTGTTACAACCAGAAAACAAAGTGTACAGAAACATTAGTTTTGCTAAATGTTTGGTGCTTTAAAGGTGAACGGTCAATTCCCAGGTCTTTTACTGTGTCTGCCAGGATCTGGAGACTTATAAAGATTTGTTACATTGATTTTAAATATTCAATAAATTTGATTGTATATTTTATTTTTGGTATCCATTTCCTGCCATCTATAAGGAGGGAGTATAGTCCCATACCACACAGTGTGCTGCTTGCTACTAAGCCTTATCCATGCTCTAATCTTGGGAGTACATTATTTACCTTAATTTATCTACAAAGTTCTATTGCAATACTGCTCTATATCTATTCTTTTGAACCATCACACAGGACTGGTCAAGATGAAGAGTCCTACTAAGAAGTGGAGGGTCGCCTAAACGGACCCGATTGCTGTTAACATTAGAGCTAGGTTTTAAGCTCAAATATGTGAGTGTTTCCATGTCACACTATTTAAAGTGATTCTATATAGGTTTTTGCACTATTGGATATATTTTTAAAGGTATACACAACCTGCACAATCTATTTTTATAAAGTTTATATTAAGGTATTTTATTGAAATACTTGTGTTTTTCTGCACTATATTCACCATGTGAGATACAAAAGTGCAACGCTGTGGGTTTGTTAACTGACTTATTTTATGTACTTATGCATTATATTTCAATTGTTACTCCAAGCACCGTTGCTATTTTACTGACTTTGTTATACTATACACAAATACATTAAAGGACCACTATAGTCACCCAGATCACTTCAGCTCAATGTCATTTTAGTTCATGTTTGACATCTTTTGCCAGCATGCTAACCACTAAAAAAAGGCAAAATTTAACCCCTCTTTATCCTGCAACTTGGCACCTCTGTCTTAGTTTGTAGTCAAACAATGTTGTAAACATTAAGAAGAGTAATTAAACATTTCTCCTCCCATTTGCCCTGGCTTTGGACTAAACTCAATTGTGATGTAATTTTCCAAAACGTTCATATGAATTTTAAAGAAAACAGAATATCACAGACAAAGGTTGAAACAAGCTATAAGATTTTCAGTGTTTTTTTCAATGGTGTGATTGGTGCAAATATTTTCTTTATTACTTAAATGACAAACCACTGTGGGTTTCAGGAACCAGACATACTCAGTCTCAGACTTGAGTATTACTGCATTTTAGGAGGTATATTTTAGTAGACATGTGTGAATGTTTTTTTTATTTTTAAATATGAAACAAATTTTTTTTTTTTTTAAATTAAAAATCCCACACCATTTAAACTCTTTTAGGAGCCAATATGAATGATTTTGATATGTTTTTCATGTTCTGCTCTTCCACATATTGAAGTTTGTTAAAGAAATATGGCACACACCATAACCACTACATTGTGATTTAGGAGTGCCCTAATTCCCCATTATAAGTAGTCAAACTCTTAGAACAGTTTGATTTATTACCTACGGTCCGTTAAGTGCTGTACCCTGCTTCCACTACAGCCTCCAGGCCAGCTGAAAGCTCGTTGACTGAGATAATACTGGCAGCTCAGGTCTTCGTTCAGGCAAGCTTAAAGAAACTCATTAACAGGAGCATGCAGCTGTCTTGGTAGTTGAGGAGAGTGGGGAGCAGCACCAATATAACAAGTCAAATTGTTCAAAAACCGTTTGACTAGTTACAGTGGTGTGACGCCAGGGCACTTCTAGCACCACAACTACTTCAGTGAATACAGCAGTGGTTGTGGTGCTTGGAAACACTTCTATACCAACATTATTGGTGCTTCCATTTTATACCCATTGTATCTTGCTTAATCAATTCACATTTGAAAACAAAGAAACTACACCTTAGGGAACAAGTTTATTGTGTTTGGGATAATACATTGGGTGCTCTCTGAGCTACAAAGGGTTAAAAGGAAATCCTTTCAGTACAAACTGACAAAGATAAAACAGTTTTCACAACAGCGTGTACCACATAATTGGAAATATTTCTGGGTTTAATACAAATGACAATTTCTAGTAATCTACAGCTAACTTTAATAACGCCATACAGATAATGAATTAGGCTAAAATGCACTATAATATTTGGTTTGGAACAGTATCCTTAGTACATCACAAAATACAATTTGATATCCCAAAGAAGCAAGACTTGCAAGTAGGCATTTTAACATTACTAATCTACAGCTACAAAGTTCTACTCTTCATAGCATTTACCTTGTGGGGCAGTATACCAGTCTTCATAGGATAAAAGCAGAGAGTAGAATCAGTATAACATATACACAGAAGTCCATATTGTAAAGGCTATAAAGATTTGTTGCACATTGTACAGATGCCTTTTACTCTTTCACAATGAATTTATGTGGCATATCTCTTGGTCCACTGCCTGGCTATCCTGTCATGTTCTGCTCTGTTGGTCAAATACTGAGTGGCTATGCTTCCAACCAGTGGATCCGCTGGAAGGGAAGAAAATTGGAAAATATTATTCATGCTGTATTGAAAAATAATATCTATATTTGCACACATATCTATATCTCAATAATATTTTCTGCCTGCCCATGACAGCCACTATAGTAGATGTGATGAGCGCAACCTCCTCGGCTACATTTATAGTTTTAACCTCTTGAAAGGAATTACTAATTTTTTGTAGAATAGAATAGAATCCCTTTAGACCTGTATTTAAACCACAAATATTTCTTACATAGGTACATAGAGCACATTTGGCAGCTTGGGTTACTTTAATATGCACATTAAACATTCACCATCTGTTCTCTACTGAAATTATAAACGTAAAAACATAACTTACAACAGTCAAAAGTGTACTCAATCAAGCAAATCAGTTTTTTTAGAATAGATCACAAGTGAAACTAATCTTCCTTGATAAAAGACAACTTGCTATTTACATTTGTTAATCAATATAAACATTGCATTCTTTGCTAATGTGATATCACAATTACGGATGCACCAGAATTTCTCCTGCCCAAAATGGGCCTATCCCATTTCGGCTAAAAAAGGGTTACATAAGCCGAAAATAGGGCAGAGTAACCGGTCATGACCGAGGCCCCGACATCGGGAGGGGGCCCAGCGGCTTGCCCTGTCTGTCGCCGGGTGCGATGCCCCTCCCATCTGCCCGGGGAGAGAGCCAGTAAAGTCTGCAGCTCAGCCCGGTGTGAGCCGCAGACTGTGCTGTATCTCGCGATCTCTGGCAAATCAGAGCGTTGCCGCGGGTTGCCATGGCAACACTGACTTCTGGGGCTCACGAGATAGAGCACAGTCTGCAGCTCACACCAGGCGGAGCTGCAGACTGGGGAGAGAGCACAGTCTGCAGCCAGGACACTGGAACACCAGGGAAACAAAAAAATGTAAATAAGGTATTTTAAACACCCTTCCTCACCGTCACTAGTCACCCCTCTCCCTCAGTCATTGTCACCAGTCACTCTGTCACCCACTCCCTCCCACACTCTGCCACTAGACACCCCCTCCCTTGCCATGTCACCCCCTCCTGCCCTTACTCTGCCACCCCCATCACCCCACACCCCTATCACACACCACATCACGCACTCTACATAACCTACACACATACAAACTACATCCCTATCACACACCACATCGTGTTCCCTAACACACATACACCCCTTTCCCACACCTCACTATATTCCATACACACACTACATCCATTTCCCACACCTCACTATATTCCATACACACACTACATAACCTACACAAATCGTTTGGGGGGAAAAGTCATTTTCGGTTTCCGGCCAAGGGCATCCTGAATTTTTGGTTTCGGCCCAGAATTTTCATTTCAGTGCAACCCTAATCACAATTATACCAAACATTTTCATCCACCTACCAAATATCTCAAAAATTTGTCTGATTAAGATAAAAAACAAAAAGAAAAACTGAAAACAGCAATTTCAAATTGCACATAATAAATTTCTGCTTTACTCCTTTCAACAGTTTTTCTTCAGATTGTGTGTTCCCTCCTGCTAACACGGTGCTACACATAACGCCACAGGTTGTACAAACAGATTCCTATAGCACTAATTTAGACCAGAATGAGAAGCTCCTAAATTGGCAAAACTACACCGTATAAATAAATCTCAGAACTTTACTAAAAAATATTTATTTTGAAATAAAAGCATTTACTTCATTTTAAGGGTATTTATAAACCGTGAAATAAAAAATAAATAAATAAAAGTCACTTCCAGGTGATCCCCTTTAAGGAATAGGCCTAACTGTATATTACTGCTTCTATACATCAATTTGTAATAAGATTTACCTTCATATAAAATCAATTTAATATTCTCATTCCTGGATGTACTCACGCATTATAATCTAGTTTTACTTACCAGGATTACAGTCTGTCAGAAGGGAACAAATAGATAGCAAAACCTTTGAAATAGTCAACGCTGGGCTCCAGTTGTCTTTAAGAATATCCAAGCAGATTACTCCCTGGCTATTGATATTACAGTGATAGATTCTGGTGCGGAAAGTGACCTGAAATCAAGCAAATATATTATAATTAGAATGCCTTCTTGAATTGTATTTCAGAAATATTAATAAGCACAATGCACAATGCATTTTCTATTTCATACAAAAAAGTAAAGAAAGGTATGGGGTTATATGTAACAGTTTGCATATATACAATCTCAAGCACTAAAGAGGCACCAGCATTTATAGTTTCTTGCTTGACAATTGTACAAAAAAAAAAAAAAAAAAAATCCTCAGAAATACATTTTCGTTTGTGCCCTTTTACCCCTTTAACTGTCCACTACTTTCTCTCATGATCACTTTTAACCAAAAGCTAAAATTGCATGCTCTTTCAGGACAGCCTTAAAGAAACACTATAGTGTTAGGAATACAAACCTGTATTCCTAACGCTATAGACTCCTATAACCCTCTACCCCCGTCCCGCAGTAGAAAATATAAAAATAAAAACTTTTAATAACCTTTTCTCCAATATCAATACTACGTTGCTGCCCATTCCACCTCCAGCAAAGTCATCCTGGAGGCATCCCCTCCAGGGTGCTGGGAGAAACAAATGCTTCTCATGTAGAAGCATTGTGGGCCGTAGGTGCAATTGTGGCAATCATCAGGATCTGCCAACATAATCTTGTCAGAGTATCACTGCATATAATGATTCTGTATGACAAGCTGTGAATGACTTTGCATGCGTGACTGACATCACATATGACTGGATAGGGGAGCTGGGAATAAAGTGTCCCGGCTCTCTTATTCAGAGGGCTTGAAGCAGCACTTTCAAGCCTTTAAACTGGTGAAATACTGGAGGACAGGAGAAGAGGGGAAATATTCAAGGCACTGTAACAACTTTAATGAGCTGAAGTTATTATTAGTGTCCTTTAAACATATATCCTTTATAACACTTCAATAATTGCTTAACACTTTTTAGGAGACTGTGCAATCTTAATTCACTAAAACACAACAGATTGTAATATTCTATCTGGATATTTTATTGTGAGCTGTATAGTGTGCTACTGATCCAGCCATGAGTAGCTTCATACATGAAAAATGCAAATAGAGTTCCCTGTACAAGTTAATGGAAACAACATTTTTCTGGAGCGGAATAAAACTCTGCATTCTATGGAGAGCTGTTTAGTGCAGGCAGGCAGGCAGGCAGGCCTAGCAAACCAACATATGCTTTTCTGGGATATGTGATATGTCCCCCACACTGGAAACACTATCAAAGAAAAGAGGACAGCGGTACATGTCCCATAATCTCCTAATAAGTTATACTTTAGTCACGTTCATTTGTGTAGCAGACCTGGCCGTAAATACTATGAATCCTGAAACGCTAAAGAGAAACTGTCACTGTTCGAGAGGTCACTCCAGTAAATAAAAGTAATGGGGCACAGTATTTAAAATACAACTTACCTCTGCTGAAGTTGTTTGCATCATGGGGGACTTTGCTGCCCCATGATGCCACAGTTGTGCTCAGAATTTTCTTCAGCAGTGCAGTATGCATTAAAGAAATGAGTGAAGCTGGAGTGTACATAACCACACATACCTTCTCTACCAAAAAGCAGCAAGCATAGAGTCATCATTTTGTGACCACACAATGAACCTAGATTCTGGCTTTCTTATAAGACAATTTCTCACACCGTCCCTTATCTGAAAACTAAAAGAACACTATAAGGTCACGAACACAAACATGTATTCCTGACTTTATTGTGTTAAAAACACTATCTAGCCCCAGTCTCCCTTTCCCCCTAAACATAATAGAATCTTACATTTATTCCAGTCTGCTGCTGCTGGCTCTGCCTCTGATCTGCCTACTTGGTTGACATCATCAGAAGTTATGATCTGAGCCAATCACAATGCTTTCACATAGGAAAGCATTGGATTGGCTGAGACTGTAAAGGAGGCAGATCAAGTGAAGAGCCAGCACAATTCAAACACAGCCCTGGCGAATCAGCATCTCCTCATAGAGATACATTGAATTAATGCATCGCTATGTGAAATGTTCAATGTCTCCATGCAGAGGGTGGAGACATTGTGCAACACCTCTAGTAGACATCTGAGGAGTGGCCAGTGAAGTTATCACTAGGCTGTAATGTAAACACTGCATTTTCTCTGAAAAGACAGTGTTTACAGCACAAAGCCTGAAGGGAATGATTATACTAACCAGTACAAATGCAATAAGCTGTAGTTGTTCTGGTGACTATGATGTCCCTTTAAAACATTGAAAATGTATAAACTTGTGTAAACCTTTTTTCATGTGATGCTCTGTTTTCAATTAAATGTAAGATTTATAAATTATCCATCCACAATCCATTTCAGTGCAGGCATGGACTTTCTCGCTCTTTCTCCTTGTCTAGTTATGCTCTCTTTATGCAGGCTTCCAAATACAAAGAGCTGAACTTAGAATAATTGATAGAGTAACAAAGCACAAACTCCTATTTAAATAATATTTAGTTTTAAAACTGAAAAGCAAAAATAAGCTGAACAGAACAAATTTTCACACACACTTTATTTGACTAACAGTACTGATGTAGCCTTAAATAATAAATGTCAGTAAACAAATATGTTCATTCTAGAAAGCATGGCTTGATATACCCCACCTTTTTTCACATCTGACTGTCTATGGCTCAAAAAAAAAAAACAACCAAAAACTTTAATATATTAGCAGCCTCCAAACCCATAAAAATCTGTTTAAAAGGACACTATAGGGACCAACCTAATTTTATTGCAAATGCTGTTTTGGCTTCAATGATATACTGTATTTTGGGATGAACGCATCTGTAGATTTTAGAAAAATAAAATATTTTGCTCAATTCTGAACCATGTATCTGACTCCTTTGCCAAGATTCCCCCGTTCTAAAAAATTACTTTAACAGTGCAGGTACACAGTTCAGCCACTGACCGCACAGCCTGAGCTGACATTCCCGGAAACTAGGAGTCTTGACAGAGGAATAAAGACCCTAAAAGGATTAATCACCAAAGTGAGAAATGTCAGGAGCTCAAAGAATTTCAAATTAAAAGCAAAAATATCAAACTGGAAGCATACAAGATTAAGAATTTTTCAAATTCATCTATTTTAGCCTTAAATTTTAAATTCACTTAGAATTTCCAACAATTCTCCTTTTAAAGGGACGCTATAGTCACGTGAACCACTACATCTTAATGTACTGGTTCTGAAATCTATAGCCTGTCCCTGCAGTCTTAGTACTGTAAACCCTGCCTTTTTGGAGAAAAGAAAGTGTTTACACGGCTGGCCAATTAAACCTCTAGTGGGCGTCAGAATGCCACTAGAGGTGCTTCCTGTGTCAGTGTTACACAGTATGCAGCACTGGGGCTCAGTGTCTCTACGCTAAGCATGGAGATGCTGAATGTTCCCCATGGACATGCATTGGTTCAATGCATCCCTATAAGGATATGCCGATTGGCACCGCGATTTGCCACACATGCCCAATAGCCTTCCAATGCTTTCCTAAGGGAAAGAACTGGATTGCCAGAGTTCATCAGAATTGATTATATCTGGACTGAAGCAGCTTCATTATATTATTTATAAAGCGCCAACATATTCCACAGCGCTGTACAATGGGATATTACAAGAGAGCAGGGGAAAGAAGCCACAGGTACCAAACATTCCATTGCAAAGATGTGGAACCTCATTGAACACATTTTAACTTTTTAAAAATTTAACTTTTGAAGCAATGCAGATATACAAAAAAAATGCCATTTTCTTAACTAGCTACTCTAGTTATGTTGTAAAAATCTAGTCTGGAGAACGGTATAAATCAGGTTATTCTACCCGCAAGTGGTTAATGAGCGGATAAAAACGACATATACATGGATCTTTCTGTTGGGAGAATCTGCTTCCACTGATGTTCCTTTGAATGCAAAATATCACGTCACAGTGAATCATCCGGATTGCTGGTTAGCTCACACAAAAACTAAGCATGAGGGTGTAGATGTTAATATAAAAGAAAGCTCATCAGCTTCCGAAAATTCAACAACCCAATTAAAGATTTAAAAAGTGCTTACCTTTGGTGGCTTAAATGGATAATCAGAAGAAAACGTAATATCCAAGAAAAATACACCTCCCTCATATACAGATCCTGGAGGTCCAAGAATAGTAGATCTCCATTCATAAATGTTGTCGCCCTTAGGTCCAGCACTGGTAGAATCAATAAAAAACTAAATTAATGATTTAAAACAATGTGATTTAATTTTCTGGCTTTGCTTTGTAAAGATGTCAAAATAAACTAAAATGAAGTGCTCAGTTAAATAATCCACTTTAACCTTTGTTCTAGAAATATTTAGTTAAATCAAGGGAAAAATAACTTTTACTTAGTGAATATCAGTCAATTAAGAAAATTAGAAATGTGAGCTAAATTTCCTTAAAATGTATAAACAGAAATAAGTCAAACTAAATAGTACTGATCTGTTCATTTGGACTGGCTGAAAGGGTCAGCTTACATTATTCTATGTGTTAAAAAACCCAAAAAACACTCCAAGCATCTAAAGCATTTGGCTTAAGCACGCTAGGTGTAATGAATACGAAAGAGAAATGGGCAATTTTACAAAAAAGTCACACCTTCCTGGTTGTCAGACAGCAATTTTGTTTTATTGTAATGAATCATCAAAAGAATGTGTTGGATATGTGATCCTGAAGTCCATTAAACACTAAAATACCAAATAGGTAATGTGGGGATGACATGGCTTTACCAAACAATGTGGAATGCTTAAAAGGGTGGAGACTCCTTAACTAAACCCATAGATCGAGATGCCACAAAATATTTCTGTGTTTTTAAATTTTATCACCCTGAAAAAACAAAAACAAAAAAAAAAACACACACACACACACACACTATATTTACTTAGCTTTTATCAACATAGAATTGAAAGCGCTATTTTCAAATTGCAAGGTTTTAATAATCTTTCAGTTTCCCACAGCACTGAAGCATTTGAACAGCTAAATTTATTATATTACAGTTCAAAGTAGACAACAATCTTTTAATCACCTGAAAAAAAGAAATCCAATGACTTCTTATATAGCCCAATCACAAAACCTGGTCTGTTTAAAGAGTAAATACACTGTTCATTACAGCATCTAGTCACATTTAATCAAGTGTCCATATTCAAGAGAGGACTGCTTGGAAAAAAAAAAAAACACACACTGAAAGGTAGCAACTTGGGATAAGGGATGCCCATAAAGGGATAATAAAATCCATGATCCCTAGCTCCATTAACCAGTCACACTAAATGTCCACATGAATTCGTATCCCAACTGTTTATTTAAAATACAGCTTTATTGGTACTTTTTTCCCACCTCCGTTGAGATGAAATTAATCTGTTTAGGCAATAAATCTCCCACAGATTTAAAGCTTGCACGCTCTCTAACTAAGCACATTGTATAGAAGCTTCAATGACTAGATCTCAGCTCATGGGCAGAGTCCTCTTTACCTTTTGTATTTGCTTGCATATAATGTATAGCACTGCAGAATATCTTGGCACTTTTAAAATGCCAGTAATAAATAAATAAATATGCTAAATTATTGTTGTAGGAGGTGCTTGTACTAATGTGAAAAGCATTTTTTAGATTTCTGTTAGGGTTCAAAAACTCCTTTAGAGATCATGTGGCCAAAGTGTTGTGTCCTGAAGACTGCAACATTGACAAAAGAAAAAACAAAAAACAGTGCCCTGAGGCATTACTTTTTATATATATATATTATATATACACACATATATATACACATACACACACTAATATGCATTCCAAGCATTGCCATGGCAATATGAGATGTAATCCGCAGGATTTTCACCTGTGCATAAAGCCAAACAGACACCTAGCCCCTTGATGGAAATAGGCACCTCAATGCAGACACAAATTCTCCGCAGCTCATGAAATAAATATGTTTTTCACTTACCAGGGGTGGGGGCTAATGCGCATGGGCGGCATGCACATTAGGCGTGAGGATGTTCAGCGTCAGTTAGGCGATTTAAAGCCCTTTAGCAACCAGGAAGTGTATTCTGGTGGCTGATTGATAGCCACTACAGGCAGTATTAGTCCTACACTGTAATTATTGTAGTTTCAGCTCATTGAAGTGGTCTGGATGCGGTGTCCCTTTTGCACCTAGTACTGCAATATAAAACACTGCTAATCCAAAGAACTTAAATGTTTACATTGCAGCTCTAAGTCTGCCAACAGTGGCGGTTTACACAAAACAGACCTTTGGATTTTTCCCCCATTAGGTCAACCCCGCAGCCTGACGGCGTGGGAGGAGCCTGACCCAGCGCCGACAGACAACAGCGCTGGATTCAGGTGAGTGACTGAAAAGGGGTTTTAATCACTTCAGCACCGCAAGTGGGGGTCGGTTGCAAGGGAGGGGGGTGCACCTTAGAAACCTACAGTGCCAGGAAAACTGCTTTGTTTAACTTTTAGTGCCCCAGGGGGTGCACTGCATTTCTCTGCTGTAGTACTGAAAAGGTTAATTTTGATAGTGTAGCTCTTCGAGATCATACACTTGCACTCGCGACAGAACCCATTACCAAGTGGCATGTGCTGAAGTTACGCCAGTTACTAAATCTCAATTTTGGCTTACCCTGCAACACTAAAAGCGTGACTTGAGTAAATAAATAAGTCAATTCCTATTATTGTATAAAGTACAGTAAACTATTTCTTCTCAGATTACATCATTTAAACACATACTGTCTTTCATGTTATTTTGAATTAAGAATGTGTTTTATTAGTTCACTATGTTTCGTATGACTTATGTAAAAACCTGACAGAACAAACCTGCATACAAAGTCTTGGTGGACGGACACTGCTTAGGATATAGCTCCGAGTTACATTTCACGGACAAACTAGAGTCTGCGAAAATATGATTGTCTTAAACACTTTTTTGTTAACACGGTTATAAATCCATATATCATGGGAGTTGGGGGGTGAAGCAAAACAAAAAACTTAATATTATTATGGTCTTTCCCTGAAGAGTATGGAATACTAACATTCAGCCTCATAATATATTATATTTGGAAAAAACAGCTAAAATAGGATTGTACTCATTTAAAAAGTAATGGAGTGTCAGGCAATTTTACAGTGTTTTATTTGCGCAATGATTATCTTGCAGAAGGCTAAACAGGCTGTCTATTAAAGAGGAACTCCCTCCAGCCTTTAATCTATAAAAACTTAATTGCTCTGCTTAGTACAAAAAATAAGAGTATTATGTATGCAGCAGGAAGTGTGTCAAATCTGTAAAATGATTCAGACACTAATTTCCAAGCACCAGCTACAAATCAACATAGTAAAGCCTACATATTTAAAATGTGGTTATTTTTTTTTTTTTTAAATCAATTGATTACAAAATATAATTGATACTATATTGGATAACATAATACAACAATCTGTGTGACATGTCATGATTCCCTTTTATTCCAGAAGTTTGGTCCTTAAGGGGTTAAAGGATCACTATAGGGTCAGGAGCACAAACATGTATTCCTGACCCTATAGTGTTAAAACCACAATCTAGCCCCCACTGTGTCCCTCATGCCTCCATAAATATAGTAAAAATCGTACTGTATTCAAGCCTGAAGCTGTAACTCTGCATACTGTTCGACTCAGGAAAACAAGCAGTCTGCGGACATCATCAGAAGTGGTAGCCTGATCCAATCACAATGCTTACCCATAGTATTGGCTGAGACTGATAAAGAGGTAGATCAGGGGCAAAGCCAGCATGATTCAAACACAGCCCTGGTCAATCAGCATCTCCTCATAGAGATGAATTGAATTAATGAATCTCTATTAGGAAAGTTCAGTGTCTGCATGCAGAGGGTGGAGACATTGAATGTTTGGATGCATTTTAGGCAGCCATGACCCAGGAAGGATCTCTAACAGCTATATGAGGAGTGGCCAGTGAAGTTATCACTAGGTTGTAATGTAAACACTGCATTTTCTCTGAAAAGACAGTGATTACAGCAAAAAGCCTGAAGGTAATTATTCTACTCACCAGAACAAATGCAATAAGCTGTAGTTCTGGTGATTATAGTGTCCCTTTAAAGGGTTAAAAACAGTACTTTGCATGTTTTCCACCATCTAGTCCTCAACCCCCCACCCCCTAAATATAGTAAAAGCTTACTTGCATTTAAATCTGCAGCTGCTGCCTCAGCCCAGATCTGTCTGCTGTCATCATCAGAAGTGGTGGTCTGAGTCAAGCACATTGCTTACCCATCAGATTGGCTGAGACTGTCAAGGAGGCAGATCAAGGGCAGAGCCAATACAAGTTAAACACAGCCCTGGTCAATCAGCATCTCCTCATAGAGAATAATTGAATTAATGCATCTCTATGAGGAAAGTTTAGTGTCTGCATGCAGAGGGTGGAGACACTGAATGGCAGCACTGCCCCAGCAAGAACATCTAGCAGCCATCTGAGGAGTGGCCAGTGGAGTTATCACTAGGCTGTAATGCAATAGTGTCCCTTTAATTTTCTGTTGTAAGGGTGCTGCATGAGTCAATTGAATGAGGAAAATTGCAATTGCCCAACCACAATTTTCTTGGATAAAGCACTATAGCATAACAAATATTTTCTTATTATAATGTTCCAGAACTGCTGAACACTGCTGGAGAAAGTCTCACTTTGCATCTGACTTTGTCCACTATAAATTTATGCTGCGCTCCTACAGCATGGCTCTTTCCTCTGCAAAAGTAAACTACTTCAACACCCTCATAAGCACACTGTCCCCTCAACCCAAACACCTGTTTCACACTTTTGATGCTCTTCTTTGCCCTGTGACTCCCCCTCCTTCCACCACCACCTTGTCCGCCACAAACTTTCTCATTTCACTGAGAAGATCTCTACAATCAGGAAAGAGATCTCTAATCTCTCTCCTACCCCCTATCAATACATCACCCAACCCCACTCCCCTGCCATCCTATGCTCATTTGCACCGGCTACAGCACAAGAGGTTTCTGCTCTGCTCCTGTCCTCCGGCCCCACCACCTGCTCCCTCGATCGTATTCCCTTGCATCTCATCCGCACTTTGTCTCCCTCTCGCCAACATTTTCAATCTCTCCCTTTCCTCTGGCACATTTCCCTCACCCTTCAAACATGCAACCGTAACCCCAATTCTGAAAGAGCCCAACCTTGATCCCAACTCCCCATCCAACTACCGCCCTATCTCGCTACTGCCATTTGCCTCCAAGATCCTCGAGAGAGTTGTGTACGCCAGATTGACAGACCTTCTCGAATCCAACTCTCTGCTTGACCCCCTTCAGTCTGGATTCCGCGCTGGTCACTCTGTCGAAACTGCTGTGACTAAAGTATCCAACGATTTAATTGCTGCTAAATCTCGCGGCCAATACTCTATCCTAATCCTCCTTGATCTTTCTGCCGCCTTTGACACTGTTGATCATCAACAGCTTCTTCACATTCTCCATAACTTTGGTCTACGGGATACTGCTCTCTCCTGATGCTCCTCCTACCTCGCCCAGCTCTCTTTCAGGGTTTCTTTCTCTGGCTCTGCCTCTTCTCCCCAACCCCTCTCTGTCGGCGTACCCCAAGGTTCTGTCCTCGGCCCCCTACTATTCTCTATCTATACTGCCTCCCTTGGTAAACTCATCAGCTCCTTTGGCTTCCAATATCATTTATATGCAGATGACACGCAAATCTACCTGTCCTCCCCTGATCTCTCTCCACCCACCTTGACTCGTGTTTCTGACTGCCTCTCTGCTTTTTCCAACTGGATGGCTGCTCACTTCCTTAAATTCAACCTGTCCAAAACAGAACTTCTAGTTTTTCCTCCCTCAAGTGCTGCTACTCCTGTGTCTGTCTCCATCCAAGTCAACGGCGCTACTATCACCTCTACCTCGCAGGCTCGCTGCCTAGGTGTTCTTTTTGATTCTGATCTCTCTTTTACTCCCCATGTCTAATCGATAGCCAAATCCTGTCACTTCCAACTCAAGAACATAGAGCGCATCCGCCCATATCTAACGCCGAACGCGACTAAGATACTGGTTCATGCTACTGTTCTCTCTCGCCTTGACTACTGCAATCCCCTTCTCACCGGTCTTACATGTTCCCAGCTTGCACTGCTGCAATTTATAATGAATGCGGCTGCGAGGCTTATTTTCCTGTCCGGTCGCACCTCCCACGCCTCCACGCTCTGTCAGTCCCTGCATTGGCTTCCAGTTAGATATAGGGCCCAATTCAAAATTCTGGCACTTGCTTACAAATCCCTACATAATGCTGCTCCAACATACCTATCCTCCCTCATACACAAGTATGTCCCGTCGAGACCCCTGCGCTCAGCCCAAGACCTACGCCTATCCTCTGCCCAGATCCCCACCTCTGATGCTCGCCTTCAAGACTTCTCCAGGGCTGCACCTATTCTGTGGAACTCCCTTCCTTCCTCAATCAGACTTTCACCCAGCCTCCACTCCTTCAAAAAATCTTTGAAAAAACTCACTTCTTCATTAAAGCGTATCAATGAAACTGTCAGCAGGTTTCTCATCCCCCACCCCATGACTCCTTTCCTGCAGCTGTCAAAAATGACCTACCAAGCACACAATAAACCCTTCTCTAACAAACTATGTAATTCCCCTACTTTAACCCTTTGTGTCACTATACCCCACTCCCTCTAGCATGTAAGCTCATCGAGCAGGGCCCTCAACCCCCTCTGTTCCTGTACGTCCAGTGGTCTGATCTCAATTATGTGTCTGTTAGTCCACCCATTGTACAGCGCTATGGAATTTGTTGGTGCTATATAAATAATAAAATAATAATAATAATTCTAACTTCAGACTCGTCAATCTCTATACTACCTATGACATGTCTACTCACTGAACTAGTATGGCTAATATAATCTAGCATTCTAACAGACATTAAAACAGAGATTCAATTGTCTAATTAATGCATTATTCATGCAATTTGAAGTAAACATTTTAAATACATAAAATCTAAGCACAAACCTCAATTCATTTCTTACCCTGTGGCACCAAGAAAGCTGAATCACACAGATCATGGTGTCAACTTTGAGATTTATGTTTTAATTACATTAATAGTAGCACTGAGAGAACATACCCTAAAACAAGTATTTAATATATATGATTTTAGGAGAATTAACGTACTTCAACAATCATTCAATAGCTCACTACATGATACATAGGCTTGTATAAGTTAATCATCTCCAATACGAGAGGGCTACATTACATGGGAAGAGGATGGTTGCCTCTTACAAATAAGTTGCTCTCTAGGGTCAGATGATTTTGAACTATATAACTTAAAATAAAATAATAAAAATTAAAAATAAAATACACACACACACGATTAGGGTCAGTATTCACTTGTAGAGCCAAATTAAAAAAGAGTGGTAAGTAGTTTCAGCATTTCATCCAGTTATGTCAAATTCACATCAGCTAAAAAGGAGTTAATATTAAAGCTAGACGTGAGAGGAAAAAAAAAAAATTGGTTTCAGAAGGTTTGTCTGAAATGAATATTTGTATGAGTCTAATTAAAATCTATTTTCTTTGCATTTAGCTGAGCTTGTAGTGAACAAGAAAAAGAAATGAGAAGTAAGGATACTGCAGTACCTAAAAAAAATAAAAAATAATAAAAAAATAAAAAATAAATGACTGTGGCGCTATAAATTCCAAATCACTGTTGCTCAGTCAGCAGTATATAGAAATCCAAGACACAACGAAAAAGAACACAAGCAACTAGGAGGCAAGAGATCAACAGTGCTACTTCAATTTACTGAAGGAAAGTAAACATTTTATTTTATTACCCTTTATCAATGCATCATGCCATGGCATTCTAGTTGACCCCCCTATATTTTTCTTTGTCTCAACAGGAGTTTCACAGAGGTGTGACTGAAATGAACTTGTTTTCTGCGGTCAATCTTGGTTGACTTATAACTTCCATATTAGTCTAGGCTACAACTTGTTGAAGTCTATTCAGAGTATTTTTTCTTAGCATTGCATTTCCTTTATACTACAAAATATGTCAATTACAAATATATAATGTCTTTAGAACAGATCATGCTGAAGCTAAAATTCTGTAATATCACAACAAACCCAGCTCTGCTCTAAGACATATATATTTAGGCATTTCATTTTCCATTGATTTGCATCATTAAGACCTAGCATTAATCTATTAGCTTGTATTTGAATTTTCTCTAGTATTTAAGGATATTGATGCATGTGCAGTGGTTATGTTTGCTGTTTAACTTTTATTCTACAGAACTATGCTTTTGTAATGCATACACCACACAACATGCACACAACAGTGCAAGTAAAACACACACACGCATGTCTTGTGTGCATATTTACACAAACACAGACCAAGTTAGTAATGCAAATATTCACTCAAGACTGTGTGATTTTCTCTGCACTGTTACATGCATGTTTTGAGTCCAAATATACAATTTTAAGGAGAGTCTTATGGCCATGCTGTGTCATTTACAATCCATTACAATTGAATTAAAGGGACATACAGAGAACCAAATGCAACATTTATACACTTTATTTTGTATTGCATTTTTGCATGCTCAAATCTTTATATTTTTTTTTTACAAAAGGTATGCATGCACACAGTCTGAGCCCCAACAGCACTGGTTGAGCTGCTTTTAATTCACAACCTGGCAGACAGTGAAACTACCAACAAGTAGTTCTATCCTTACTATACGCCTCCCTGGGTATCCTCTCCTAATTCAGGTTGGTTTGTTGTTCAGAACATTCAGTACTGTCAGTGGCTGAGCAGTGTGCATACCTTTTTGATTAGGGGCGTCTTTTCTGGACTGAAAGAGAGTGTATCTAAAAATACAGGCTTACTATGGTGCAGCATTCTGCAAAACATGTTATGCAAAATTTTGAGATTTGAGCATGCAAAAAATACAGCATGTTAATGAGGTCAAAATCTATCAAATAGACTAAATTAGTAGTATTGCCAGGAGAGTCCCTTTAAGAGATTTTATTTTTTTTAGGATTCTATTCTACATGGAAATAGAGCAGATTAGTCAATCTCTTAAAGTTTTATAAACTATATACACATCTTAAATTAAAATTGCTATGATCAAACTATTTTTTTAAATGCTTCTTTTACATTAAAAATGCCCTGAAAGTTACCTGTGGACAAAGTATTTTTTGCTATTTAAAGGCCCACTATAGTGCCAGGAAAACATACTCGTTTTCCTGGCACTATAGTGCCCTGAGGGTGCCCCCACCCTCAGGGACCCCCTCCCGCCCGGATCTGGAAGGGGGAAAGGGTTAAAAACTTACCTTTTTCCAGCGCTGGGCGGAGAGCTCTCCTTCTCTCCTCCTCCGTTCCTCCTCCTGGGCTGGCTGCGTGCGCATTCAGCCCGTCACATAGGAAAGCATTTACAATGCTTTCCTATGGACGCTTGCGTGCTCTAACTGTGAAAATCACAGTGAGAAGCACGCAAGCGCCACTAGTAGCTGTCAATGAGACAGCCACTAGAGGAAATAGGGGGAAGGCCATTTAAAAAAATGGGTTAACCCTAGAAGGACCTGGCACCCAGACCACTTCATTAAGCTGAAGTGGTCTGGGTGCCTAGAGTGGTCCTTTAACAATGTATACAAAGTATGGATAACAAGATCTGCCAATATCTTAATGAACTACTACAGACTTTAACCCCTGAAGGACTGAGCCAAATGTACATGTTTTGATCAAAATAAAACGTAAACAAAACTTGGAATTTGACTATATGTCTATTCAACTGTAATTCACCTATTTCATATTAAAGGACCACTATAGTGCCAGGAAAACATACTCATTTTCCTGGCACTATAGTGCCCTGAGGGTGCCCCCACCCTCAGGGACCCCCTCCCACCCGGCCCTGGGGAGAGGAAAGGGGTAAAACTTACCTTTTTTCCAGCGCCGGGCGGGAAGCTCTCCTCCTCTCCGCCTCCGATCCTCCCAATCGGCTGGCTGCGCGCGCATTCAGCCGGTCTCATAGGAAAGCATTCATAATGCTTTCCTATGGACGCTTGCGTGTTCTCACTGTGATTTTCACAGTGAGAATCACGCAAGCGCCTCTAGTGGCTGCCAGTGAGACAGCCGCTAGAGGATTTGGAGGCTGGATTAACCCATTTATAAAACATAGTAGTTTCTCTGAAACTTCTATGTTTATTAAAAATGGGTTAATCCTAGAGGGACCTGGCAACCAGACCACTTCATTAAGCTGAAGTGGTCTGGGTGCCTAGAGTGGTCCTTTAAGTGCACCCACACTTATTATATATCATTTTATTCATGGGAAATAGGGATTTAATTTAACATCAAATATTTAGCAATGAAACATTCAGTATTCAGCGATGTCTCACGTGTAAAACGTTACCCCCTATGTACAGGTTTTATGGGGTTTTGGGAAGTTACAGGGTCAACTACAGCATGTAAAATTTTTCTTCACATTGAAATTCGCCAGATTGGTTACGTTGCCTTTGAGACCGTATGGTAGCCCAGGAATGAGAATTATTGATGATGCCCCCATGATGGCATACCATTTGCAATAGTAGACATCCCAAGGTATTGCAAATTAGATATGTCCAGTCTTTAGTAGCCACTTGGTCACAAACACTGGCCAAAGTTAGCGTTAATATTTGTTAAATTTTATTATATTATATATATATATATATATATATATATATATATATATATATATATATATATATATATATATATATAAAAAATCAATATAATTCTACGTGTATTTTGTTTATATATAAAATTGTATTAAAATACACTTAGTGTGTATATATATATATATATACATACACACACATACATACATACCGACACACACACACCCTGTTCCAAATTATGCAAATTCTATTTAAGTGTCACAAAGATTAAATATTTTGTTTTTCAGTTTAACTCATGGATGGCATTGTGTCTCAGGGCTCTTTTGATCACTGAAAATCTCAGACACCTGTGATAATTAGATTGCCAGGTGAGCCCAATTTAAGGAAAAACTACTAAAGGAGGGTGTTGCACATTATTAAGCAGAGAACCATTTTCATGCACTATGGGGATGAAAAAGGATCTCTCTGCTGCCGAAAAGAGTGAAATAGTTCAATGCCTTGGACGAGGTATGAAAACATTAGATATTTCACGAAAACTTAAGCGTGATCGTCGCACTATTAAGAGATTTGTGGCTGATTCAGAGCCCAGACGGACATTGAGGAAGATTTCTGCTAGATCCATGCATCGGCTCAAGAGAGCAGCTGCTAAAATACCATTACATAGCAGTAAACAGATATTTGAAGCTGCTTGTGCCTCTGGAGTCCCACGGACATTAAGGTGTAGAGTCCTCCAGTCTTGCAACTGTGCATAAACCTTCTATTTGGCCACCACTAACCAATGCTCACCAGCAGAAACGGCTGCATTGGAAAGAAAAATACATGAAGATTAATTTTCAAACAGTCCTGTTCACTGATGAGTGCCGTGCAACCCTGGATGGTCCAGATGGATGGAGTAGTGGATGGTTGGTGGATAGCTACCCTGTTCCAACAAGGCTGCGACGTCAGCAAGGCAGTGGTGGAGTCATGTCCCCTTTAGGGTCCTCGAATGTGTAAAGATGACCTCTGCAAATTATGTGGAGTTTCTGACTGACCACTTTCTTCCCTGGTACAGAAGAAAGAACTAAGTTTCCGTAATAAAATCTTCATGCATGACAATGCACCATCTCATGCTGCAAAGAATACCTCTGCATCAATGGCTGCTATGAGGATAAAAGGAGAGAAAGTCATGGTGTGGCCTCCATCCTCACTTGACCTCAATCCTATTGAGAACCTTTGGAGCATCCTCAAGCAAAAGATCTATGACGGTGGCAGTTTACATCCAAACAGCAGCTCTGGGAGAGAATTCTGACATCTTTGCAAACAAATTCAAGCAGAAACTGTCCAAAAACACACAAGTTCAATGGATGCAAGACTTAAGAAGCTGCTATCAAATAAGGGGTCCTATGTTAAAATGTAACGTGACCTGTTAAAATGTTGTTAGAAGTTTGATTGAAATAGCTTTTGATTTCAGTAAATATGCTGCCAACACAACAAATGACAATTTTCAGTTCTTTACAACCTATAAAGTGTTTTGAAATTTACTGTGCGTAATAATTTGGAATAGTGCATTGGAAGTTTATGTTTAAAATAAATACGGTTATCATTAGGAGGTTTGTTCAATAAAATATGAATTGTACTCTTAATAGTTGATAACATGAGAATTATGCTGACTTATTTACATCAATTATTTAGGTAAATGAGAAAAATATAATTTGCATAATTTGGAACAGGGTGTATACACACACATATGATATATATATATATATATATATATATATATATATGATCTAAATATATATTGTTTTATTTTACACTGTTTTAACTTTATTTCATTTTATTTCAGGCAGCAGGGGGACTACCTGTCATTCCAGGCACTCCTCCTGCTGGAATTGCTATGGATGGCTATTCCGTCCATGTCATCGTGAGGTCCTCGCAAGGACCTCGCGATCACATGGTCCAGGAGGGCCGGATCGGCAGAAGGGGGACTTCCCTGGGATGCCAGGTAAGTCCCCCCATTGCGATCGCCGGAGTGGGATCGCCAGCGAGCAGGTAAGTGGGAAGGACGGCGTGGACGTGCTATGCTGCCCACTGGAGTTTAGAGCCGGGTCCCCAAGGACGGCGTAGCACGCCTGCCGTCCTTATCTATTGTATAAATACCATTAAAATGCTCAAAACATTAAAACCTTAAATCCTTGCAGTGTAAAACATACACAGATTAAAGTTATTGTAATTTGCTTCATTCTGCTCCATTGGAGATCTAAGTTTGCAGTCTGTTTAAAAAAAAATGTAAACATACTGGTTGCAATAAATAGCCGACACTGGTATGGAAGTTATATAACAAGAATGGCACACTTAAATTAACCTATGAGATTTCTATTCCTAACAAATGTAAATTAAAATATATTTTTTTTCATATAAAAGCTTGTAATATTATGCTTTTAAATGTCAAGGCAGATATAAAAAAATGAAATATCTATTTAAGTTTATTAAAAACACAAATGGCTCATAAATAAAAAAAAAAATGTTAGCTCACTGAAATGAACATCCTGTTAAAGGAGAACTATAGTGAAAACAAACTTCTCTGAAACTGCTAGGTTTTCAGCTTCAGGGTTAAAACTAGGGGGACCTGGCACCCAGACCACTTCATTGAGCTGAAGTGGTCTGGGTACCTATAGTGATCTTTTAAAGATAAAGGATATTGATAAATATATCAATAGCTTTACTGCTTACCATAAATGTATAAGTTGCTGCAGTATTTAAAGGGAAACCATCACTTCCATGAAAATTAAACAATTTTTAAAAAAATATTGAAAACCACCTAAAATGTGTGTTAAAGGGCCACTATAGCCACCATTACAACTATAGCTTAATGTAGTTGTTCATGTAAACACTGCCTTTTTGTAGAAAAGGCATAGTTTACATTGCTCCCTAGGGAAACCTCCAGAGTCAGACACTAAGATATTTCCTGGGTCACATTCAGCATCTCCATACTGAATTTTTCCCATAGAGATGCATTGAATCAAGCAGCTATATGAGGAAATGCTGATTGGCCAGGGTGGTATTTGGCTCCATCCCCAACCCGCATCCTTGGCTGAGATCATCAGAATGGACGCACTCAGGCATACCCGATACGTCCGCGGCTAATTAGAGCGCTGGAAGTGATCGCTTCCATCCGCTCTAACAGTATTGCAGCGATGCCTCGATGTCGAGGCACTCAGTAAAATAAATAAATAAAAAATTAAAAAAAATGAACCCCTTCCCTCCTTCTCCCATGTTACCCCACCGGCGATCAGTCTTCTACATATCACAGCGATGATATTGTCAGTGAAAGTTTTCTTGCATTTTTCACACACAAACGGCACTTTCACTGATGATGATATTGTTGTAATATGTTTTACTGTTTTGAAACACTAATATTTGTGTTCAGTGAAGTCTCCAGAGTATAACAGTACCCCCCATGTACGGGTTTTATAGTGTTTTTGAAAGTTACAGGGTTAAATATAAGGTAATTTTTTCACATTGAAATTTGCCAGATTGGTGATGTTGCCTTTGAGAGCGTATGGTAGCACAGGAATGAGAATTACCCTCATGATGGCATACCATTTGCAAAATAAGACAACCCAAGATATTGCAAATGGGGTATAGTCTTTTTTAGTAGCCACTTGGTCACAAACACTGGCCAAAGTTAGTGTTCATAACAGTTTTTTTGCATCTTTAACACACAAATATAAATGCCAACTTTCGCTAGTGTTTGTAACTTTGTGGCTACTAAAAAAGACTAGACATATCCCATATTGAATACCCTGGGTTGTCTACTCTTCAAAAATATATGGTTTGATGGGGGTAAATTACATTGGCCGGCTTCAAAAATGTCCCAAATAGGACATGGGTGCATGATGACAAGCTGAGAAAATTCCAAGTTGGAAAACTGGAATGCACACCCTCCAAATAATGTATTTTAGCCCCCAGAGAACCCAACACACCTATACATAGGTGGTATAACTGTACTCAGGAGATGTTGATGAACACATATTGGGGTGTTCTTTGGCAGTAACCCTTAAAGTTCTCAGTACATGTATTCTTAAATTGCTGTGTGTGTCAAACAAATCACCAATTATAATTTTTTTTAATTTGGCATAGATTGGTGGTAAAATGGTTGCATGAAAAGAATCAAAATACCCCAAGTTTAATACCTTAGGTTGTCTTTTTAAAATAAATACATGTGAAGAGGTATTCAGGGATTCCTGACAGATATCAGTGCTATACTGTAACATGCGTTCATTTAAAAAAAAAAAAAATGGTTTGGAAATTGCAAAGTACGGTACTTATAGCCCTATAACTTATTCTAAAAATATTCTAAGAACATGTTAACATTGGTTATATCTAAACTCAGGACAAAATTTACAAACTATTTAGCACAAGGTTTTTTTGGTGGCTGTAGATGTGTAACAGATTTTGGGGGTCAAAGTTAGAAAAGGTGTGTTTTTTCATCATATAATTTCTTTTACAGTAAATTATATGATGAAAATAGTATCTTTACAAAGACCATTTAATGGCGAGAAAAACTCTATATAATAATAATATGTGTGGGTACATTAAATAAGTAAGAGGAAAGTTACAGCTAAACACAAACCGCAGAAATGTAAAAACAGCCCTAAAGGTAAGAAAATTGAAAAACGGTCTGGTCACTAAGGGATTAAGCTCAGTTTTCTTTAATATGTATATGAAAGATCTGCAAAACAAATGTCACAATCCAGTTTAGGCAGAGCATATTGCAAATTAGTTGAATAATGTTTAATTTCTTTACATCACTGTATGTTTTCATTATACTGAGTGCCATGAGCAAAGAGAACGGGGACTGTTCCCTGCTAAATAGGGAGGTATGTAATACATACACGTCATTTTTAAAACAGCACTGCAAGTGTTAAAACAGTAAACCATTTAAGAGGCAGATATACAGTTTTCAAATTAAAAGGCCAGTCCTTTGATAGAAATAACATGATCCTGTCATATATAACTTATGTAGCAATCCTGATTGCTCTGGGAGCTCACTGAGAAATGGCGATAAGAGATTAAAATCTGCCCATCTTCAAAGGGGCTCATAAAATTCATCACACCAGTTCTTGACTTGTAATTCATGGGTCAAGAAGTAGTCATTAGCCAACATACTCAAAATTCTACAGAGTGCTTAAATATGCTCAAAGGATTTAGTAAAACTTCTAAAAAATTGTTCTTGGTACACTTGTTAAATTATTAGATGACATATGCTCCAAATAATTTATGTAGGATAGAATATATTGGAATTCCATTTTTTTTTAAATTTAAAATATGATAGTTCTTAGATTACTATTAAAGAAACAATTCATAACACCATAATCACTACTGCACAATGTATGTATACTACAGTGAACTGCCCTATCCCAACAAGTAGTCAAACATGTTTTGACTTCTCACCTGTGGTGCACCATCTGTCTCCTCCACAAAAGCGTCTGTTAGCTTTCTGTATGAGCTAACCCCTACAGTGAGGGCTAGCTCATTGGTTGTGAGTGTCACCCAAATCGCTCTCTGTGTGTGTGAGCTATGGTCTGCACTGCTGCAGCAGGCTGATCCCAGATAAGAAGTCAAGCCATTCTAAAGAAATTTGACTATTTACAATGGGGAGAACACCTAGTCAATCCTGGTACCGTAACCACTTGAGCACACCGTAGAGGTTAAAAGGTTTAGCTGAAGCTCTTTCCCACAGACAAGGACATCTTCTGTCTTCAGCTCCTGTTGCTTCATCAGCCAGGAGCTGCATCAATACTGTACTCCCGCACATGTGGAAAATTACAACACTAATGCTGATGGAGGATGCCATGAGACCGCAGGAGCCTCCACTGACAGTCTCATGATCTGCAAAAGAAGCCGGATTCTCACAGCTATTGCTAGAGATAGCAAGGGGAATTGAAAAACCTGACACTGGAACCTCTGCTCTTTGTCATCATGATAGAAAGTAGGGAACCTTCTCTCTCATGATATCTTTTGACCGAATTGAAATTTCAATGAAATTCAAAAACAGTCAATGTGACTAAGAACGATTCTATCTTTATGGATTATTTACATTCATTGATAAGTTGACATATGGGATAAAAAGAGACTGAAAATGGGCCCACTTATTCTAATATACCATTCCACTGCCCAGGAGATGGGGTATTAACAGTTAGAAGATATACACCTACTCGCAGCATAGTGATGAGGACACGGGTTTTAAATAATTTGTCTGCTTGGCTACTAGTGCTGGCAGTAGGCAGTTTGGATTTTTAAAAATATGGGTCCAGATTCAACACTATTGTGTGCACCCGTATATAGCATATGTACTGATGGTTAAAGGAACTCTATAGTATTGGGAATACAAAACTATAACACAGTGTCCTTCCCCCCACCCCTCCCCCATTCAGTCAGGCAAGTCTTTCACTTACCTGATATCTCCCACGATGTCACTTGCTGCGCATGCACACTAGGCTTTCCTATGGGGATTTTCAAGACACTGGATGTCCCCATGCCAAGCGTGAGGACATCCAGTGTTTCACAGAGCTAGACTCTGAAGCACAGGGAAGTGCCTCAAGTGGCTGTCTACAAGACAGCCACTAGAGGAGGAATTAAACTTACAAGATAACAAACTGTAAAGTTTTACAATTCAGGGTTAGCTAGACAGGAGGACTGCACCCAGACCACTTCAATTAAATAAAGTGGTCTGGGTGTCTACAGTATCCCTTTAACCGCGGTAGCCAAGGTGTTTCTGACCATCATCCAGTTTACCCAGTATAATAAAAATTCAACAAAAAAAAACACACAGCAGAACAGAAAGCAATATCTTTAAGGCACTTTATAAAATGTCAGTACATGTACAATTTACACAGTGGCTGCAGTCAAGTTCTGGTGACCACATTTAAATGATACATATTTTTTCATCTTTAAAAAGTTTCAACTTACACAGTGTTCTCTCTGGCAGTAATTAACAATTGCAAGCTTTTTCCCATAAACACACCAAGGTGTAAATATGATGAGTCTAGGATAAAAATGTCAGCACAGCCAAATATTTGGCATTATATAGGCTATTGCATTTTTGCTCTAGTTTGCTGTATTTTCAAAATATTTGCTTAGCTGGATACAATTGTCAATTGGAAGATCTGACAGGCAGAAAACAGTACTTCAATTAAGTAGCTGGCAAACCGCCAGCAGGAAGGAGAAGGCCCAGGCTGTCACTTGCTCGACAGTATACATGGCTATTTGGCAGCCAAGTTGGTACCTGATAATAGGGCAATGACAACATAAAAAAACTAGAATAAAAAACATCCAAATAAGGATATTTAAAATTACATTTACTACAAATATTAAATGATTTTAATTTATTTTTTTATACGATGGTTGAGGTTAGGGGATATAAAACTGAACTTTATTCTGTGTGATTTAATACAAGTTAGGATTTATCAAATTTTCCTTGTTTTCACAATTATAGATTAGAGGTTATACCACTTGTTTCATCATTAGGTAAGGGCCATTAATCACATGGTGATGAACTATTGTTTGTGAATGGTAGATTTGATTTAGGTTATGAGGAGTTATAACATGTACATTAGATTATTTAACTAATTAATAACAATGGGTTGTTGAACACTCTCTCTAGGTTTTAAGATCTACCGGAGAAAGATTTTTTTTTTTTTCCCTCACCACAATTAAGAAATCCACAATTTTATTAAAGACACGGAGGCTCCTATTATGCTTCTCTTTCTTTAATTTTCCCTCAGCAGCGAAGAGAAAAATGCATGTAAAAAGAGAAAATAGCATATCATTAACATATATACATATTCAACAGTGCTACTAATCAGTAACCACCCCCCTTCAGTATATAAGGTGTAGCACTCTCTTCCTCTTTCTTCGCTGCTCCCTCAGACCAGCTAAGTACATTTTATTCTCTTGCTTGTTGTAATAATTACTGTGGGATTGCAGATGTTACCCCTATTCTATTAAGGGTTTCTGTTTATCTCCCTAAACTTGAGTTCTCATTTGCAGTACCATAGATTTTATCTTTATACTGTATTTCTTCTTACTACTGTTTCTTTCCCCTGGGTCCTGGAGTGTGTTCAGGGTTTCTTTTGTTCAACTTTATAGTTGGGTTGCTCTGGCTCCCTCCCCCCTACCGACCGGGAACCGTCCCGAGCCCCCTCCTCGACCCGTTCCCGGCTCCCTGCCGGCTTTACTTTTGCCGCGCGCACGCTCCGTGCATGCGCGCAGCACTCGCAGCGGCCATCTTTTTGGTTTCCTTCGCCGACCTGTGCCAGCGGCCATTTTAATTCTCTTGTGCTGCGGTTTTTCGGGTCTGTGGAGGTTGCACTCGACGCTGCTCCTGCTAGTCACACAGGACCCGGGTATTTTGTCTCTACTATTCTACCCTGTGCTTGGATTAAGCAATCCAGCACCTTCCTTATAATTATATACTTACTATTTGCCTACTTTCACTTCTGCTATCATGCAGTCTGCTGGTGGGGACTTACCTGGCCACGCTACCCCCCCTAAGGGTACCCCTGGCTCTGATTCCCAGGCTGACCCTAACCTCATAGGCTCAGAAGAATTTTAGAGCCTCCTGGACGCCAGTATGTCCAATTCTATCAGTAAGGCCATTTCCTCTGCCATGGGGGCTATGTCCTCCAGCATCTCATAATCCATCTCCCAAGCCCTTAGGTAGGCCTTCCCTGCTCAGGCTGATTTGGTGCAGACTCATGCTACCCCTGAAGTGGCTACCGCAGGACGCAAGGCGCTAGGCAAGTGCAAACACGCTCAGGACCCCCCCCCCACCCACATCCAGGTAAAGCCTGGTTTGATTGACATGCCTCAGGCCATCTGTGATGGCGCGCAACAACCGCGCAATAGAGCTACTGGCCGGGCTACGGCGGCCAGGGAGTGGAAACGGGCACGGGCCCATGACTTAACGTCTGAGTCAGACGAGGATGGGGAGGAAAGGTCAGATGACCAGTACTCGGATCCCTACGGGGATGAGGATCTCCCGGGAACACAATTCCCTTCTGTGTCAGTTACCGCGGAACACATTCCAGGCCTGGACAATTACACCGCGGATTGGAACTCCCGCTACCTGAAGGACTCGGGAGATTGGAGACTTCAACCGAGTGTGTTCCACAAGATCACGCACTTTGATCACACTGTTTGCGTCCAGACTAAACATGCAACTGCCCCAGTTTCTCAGCTGGCGCCCGGACCCGGAAGCCATGGCGACCGACGCATTCCTCCAAGATTGGACCATATGCCTTCCCGCCATTCATTCTGATCGCTCGTTGCCTGGCGTACCTCAGACGCTTCAAGAGCTCGATGGTCCTGGTAACCCCATGTTGAATGCCCCAGCCTTGGTTTCCACACCTATTGGAAATGGCGATCGATCATCCACGGTTACTACCGGATCACCCATCTCTGCTAACCAATCCAGACGGGGAGAGTCACACACTGATAGAACAAGGTCTCCTCCGTCTCATGGCGTGGCTCCTTTCTGGGGACCCTGGGAAATCACAGAGGTTTCGAGCACAACTATGCAACTCCTGGCAAACGCATGGGCGCCTGGAACACGACATGCATATGCTGCGGCCTGGAGACAGTGGGCCAATTGGTGCTTGGAACGATCGTTGGATCCTGTATCAGCCCCTGTGAAATCGGTGTTGGACTTCCTGACATCTGTTCGAATCAGGCAAAGCCTTTCGCACGGTCAACTTATTACGTTCTGCTATCTCGGCTGGCCATGATCACGTGGATGGACTCCCAACTGGACAGAACCCCTTAGTCTGTCGTCTACTTAAGGGTGTCCGCTTCTCACGTCCTCCTACATCCTTCTGGGATGTCAACTCCGTGTTCAGGCTCCTAGATGGATGGCCCTCTAACTTAGAGTTGTCTTTTAAACAATTATCGGCAAAATTGCTTATGTTGTTTTGTCTATTATCCTGTAAGCGAGTGTCAGACATAAGAGCTTTGGATTGGTAGGCCCACATGTTCACTCCGAAGGGAGTGTCATTCGATATCTCGCGGAGAACAAAAACAGGTTTACCCAATCTATGCCCGATATTGTGCCTAAAAGAATACGAATCTCGCACTTCTACTCTACGGCCATCTAATGACGGACCTCTGTTCATCTCACTGAAGAAACCACATCTACCGGTATCTACTCCAACACACGCACGTTGGATCAAATGGTTATTGGCTGCGGCTGGGATCGATGTCTCTGTGTTCTTATCCCACTCCGTCAGGGGCGCTATGGCCTCTAAAGCATCGGCGACTGGATGTCGCTTGGAAGACATTTTGAAGGCTGCAGATTGGTCTACGGAATCCACATTCCGGAACTTTTACTTTAGACCAATACAACATTTTTCTGATAAGATTATAGCTCAGCTTTGAAATAGCATAATAGGAGCCGTGTCTTTAATAAAATTCTAGGATTTTACTATTAACATGACAAAGTCATGATTTTATTAATGACACGGAGGCGAGTCATATTCTCTCCCCCCCTCCCTGGGTTGGTGTTGGTGGAATTTACAGACCGGGCAGGATTAGATTGAGTCGACACCTATCCTCATACCATAGAGGGCGGGTCTCCCCTGCCTTAATTATCGGATTTGAATGTCTAGACTAGATTATACGCTAAGTTGTATCTTATGACGATTTTTCTCCAGATCTAGATAACGATATATATGCTGGAGTATGTTACAACCAGTTGTCTATCGAGATTTTACCATATTTCTCCTCTCTTTTAGCCTGAATTCCCATGTCGGAGTGATTGAAAAGATTTAAAGGACGGCTTTACCGTTTTCCCCTAGGAAGGGATGTACGACTGCTTTCCCGAATTTACAGTTCCGGTTCAAAGTTTAGTTCAGTTATTGGCTGGTCTTCGGATCGCTACAGGAAGAGGAAGAGAGTGCTACACCTTATATACTGAAGGGGGGTGGTTACTGATTAGTAGCACTGTTGAATATGTATATATGTTAATGATATGCTATTTTCTCTTTGCTGCTGAGGGAAAATTAAAGAAAGAGAAGCATAATACTCGCCTCCGTGTCATTAATAAAATCATGACTTTACGTCATGTTAATAGTAAAATCCTAGAATTATCTAGACATTCTAAATCACTGTAACTCACTTCAGCTTATTGGAGTTCTCATGGTGCCAGAATCCTGTCCCTGTACCCTTACATTTTATAAACTTTGAAAAACTGACAAAACAGAGTTTTAATTCAGTGCTCTGCTTTAAAGGACCACTATAGTGCCAGGAAAACATACTCGTTTTCCTGGCACTATAGTGCCCTGAGGGTGCCCCCACCCTCAGGGTCCCACTCCCGCCGGGCTCTTGGGAGAGGAAAGGGGTTAAACTTACCTTTTTTCCAGCGCTGGGCGGGGAGCTCTCCTCTTCCGCTCCTCCTCTTCGGGTGAATGTGAATACGCGGCAGGAGCTGCACGCGCATTCAACCTGTCTCATAGGAAAGCATTCAGAATGCTTTCCTATGGACCCTTGCGTCTTCTCACTGTGATTCACAGTGAGAAGCACACAAACGCCTCTAGCAGCTGTCAATGAGACAGCCACTAGAGGCTGAATTAACCCTATTACAAACATAGCAGTTTCAGAGAAAAAGTTACACTTGGAGAAGTGAAAGTTCTTTGACCATAGTAAATGCTTACTTTCTCTGTACTTTAATGTTCTGGTTGAAGCAGTAATCCCCCGATGCCATGGATGCAGCCAGGCACCTACAAAGTTTGGATAGTTTTCACTTACTAAGAATGATGTAGTTTTGTAAAGGGATACTATCAATATCACAATACTGAACAGTGTTTAAACACTGGCGCTATATTTAAGCTTAAGCCTATTCCTACCTCCCTAAAACTAACCCTAATTTAGAATGATCCCCTCTGCTGACATCAGCAGAGCGATTTCCCTACCAATACAGCACAGAACACTCTGCAATGGAAAACTGATGCTGTAGCTCCACCCTGCTGTACCCAATTACTCATCTGTGCTGTGCAAAAGGTACAGTCCAGCGCCCATCACTGCCAGGGCATGCAGAAAGAACCAGAAATCAGGATTGCAAGACAAATCATACTATAATACAGTGTAAGAAGTCACACAGAGTAGGGGTGAACCCTTCATACTGAGAACAATAATATAATACTTATGCATATGAGTGGCAGATAAATCTTCACAATGTCTGTAAAATAATAATGTAAGACATAGTGTATACGGTTTGAATAATATGAACAATAGGTGGAACAACTCACAGATTACAGAGCCGTGCCAGGCTCTGTATCATAAGCCCAAGGGTGCCTTTCCAAGCTATAACTGAATCTCCATAGGCCACTGAAACCAGATGGACCACGGAACAGCAGGTGAGGATACAGCAGAAGGTGAAGTATAAAAATTTATTGAAGATAAATTAAAATAAAAATATAAAAATCTTCTATCATAAGCAGAAAGAGAAGCATTTCGACTTTTAAAGTCTCTCTCAATGTCTCTGTCGATATACTGATGACCTGCTGCTTAAATATCCTCTCCATTAGGATAATCCTCTTCATTTGCGTGTATTTCGGTCCGGCGTGTGAGGTCACTTCTGGTCCGCATGTGTAAGACGTCACTTCTGGTCCGCTCTTCATTTGCGTGTATTTCGGTCCGGCGTGTGAGGTCACTTCTGGTCCGCATGTGTAAGACGTCACTTCTGGTCCGCTCCCCTCTGTCAGCATGGACCAGAATTCGTGTCCCCAGACTGAGCTGTGTGCAGGGCTCAAAGTGCGTCTGTTTCTGCTTATGATAGAAGATTTTATATTTGTTTTTATTTATCTTCAATAATTTTTTTTTTTAATTTATGTTATAAATAGGATAGTAGCACATACTCCTACAAGATGACATCTACATTAAAAGTTAATCACAAGGAGAGTTAGCTGATCAATACTTTATGAAGAAATACTAAAGCAGGAGGAGTACAAAACTGTCCGCAGGTACACACAGGTCCCCCGCTCCTGTGTGCAATAATAATAAATTAAGATTTTACTTCCTTTTTTACCCACCACTGATAACCTATCCATATCCAGGGACGTCATCGAAGACATGGCGTCTCCAGTGATGGTAAAGTCCAATACTGCTCAGAAGCCTATGGTCTTCCACATCGTAATCTGCCAGTTTAGTTTCCTCTGGTGCCTGCCAGTATGTCTTTCATACTATTGAATACAACAGCAAAACATCCCACAATGGTGATGCAAATGGCTTTTCAATTAATGGTCAAAACTGACTACAAAAAACGAGATATTAAAAAGCAGCTAAACATGTTTTGCCCTTTTCTTAGGGCTTTTTCAGACTGCAATTGTAATAATTATTTTTAAAAATCCTAACAGAAGTAATGCAATGAGCAAACGTTCCAGGCACAGACTAATCAATCTTCATTGACAATGATTTTCAGAACCGATTATTATCAATGTTAGCAACTAGCTGGTGTAGCTCTGAATCCAACATAAATATAAAGTTTTCTGTTGTTCTGTTTTAATAAGCAACATCAGCTATGCAACTTGAATTATTAGAAGCAAGAGTATAAATGTGGGTAAGAAATGATGCAATTCCTAATGTGAATATTAAATAGCATGCAAGAATTGGCTGGCAAAACGAATATTGAATGTATAATTTGGGGGGGGTAGGGGGGAAGGGAATAATAAAAAAATAAATAAAAAAAATCATTCTTCTGCATTGATTACAGAAATAAGAACCTTTAGTGTCATTATACTAATATTCCTTTGAATTGTACTCTGGTTTGAGCAAAACTCCTGTCATCACTTGGTTTGATATGCTGCTGACATATGTTTGTTTTGTTTACACTGGTGTGCTTGCACATTGTCCCTAAACAATTTATGTAATCTGTATTTGTTTTGCATGCATTACTGCTAATCTAGTTTCCATTAATATTTAGGTTTACCTAATACTGTTATACATATTATAAATACTGTTCAAGTATACACAGGTCCCCCCTCCTGTGTGCAATAATAAAAATAATATAATAAATTAAGGTTTTACTTCCCTTTTTCCACCACTGGTTAGCTATCCATCTCCAGGGACGTCATCGAAGGCATGGCCTCCCCAGAGATACTCAAATTTTGCTTTGTTGACCTGTTTTTAACCACTAGAGCCAACAAATTTCCCTACACTTTAGGATCCAAAAAAATATTAGGTTTCTGGCAAACCTTTCATTAAAGCCTTGAGTACCAGAAGTGATGTGGGAGATCAAAAAGGTAGTATGGTCTTAATTTTTCTTTTTCTGCAGTTAAAATCTTACTTATGACATTTTGCAATAATTTAAGTTCATAGTTTAATATTGTAATCAACAGGGACCTCAAGCTCAAAGGAGAGCAAATAATTGTGTGGACTAATGAAGTCACTAGACGTATATTGCATCACATTAAATTAAACTGCAAAGTAAAAATGGTTACTCCAACCACCATGACCAGTTCAGTGAATTGAAGTGGTTGTGGTGGTAGTAATCTGTATATTTCTGTTTGAAACGGTGTTGTAACAGACCATTTTGCACACAAGGGGTAAAAACCGTTTAGGCGATCGTCCCCCTTTCCAGAGATGAAGGCACAGCTATTGTAGAACACCAAACTCACGAACCGCCAATAAGGGAATGCTCCAAACTCCCGAACGGCATCCAATATAGCATCTCCAAACACACGAACTGGAACCATACGAATCGCTGCTAGCAGACGAATAGGAAGAGCATCCAAGCGGCTTACACTCCTAGCAATCAGTCTCTATCAGCATTCAGTAAATCCCCCCAAAGACGAGACAAGGCTCCGTGTTGTGGGTCAAGCAGTGGTCTGTTTAATGAGGGCTACCTGCCCAGTATTTATGCAGGTCTCCCACCTGGTGGACACTCCCCTAGGGGACCAAATGGGAGACTGTGACACAAGACAGACAAGTAGACAAATAGGACACACAGTCACATTATATTCCCACAATGCATCCTGGCTTCCTCCCCTCTGCCTTGGAGATAATTGAGAAGTAATTCAATTATCTCCCAACACAAAGGCAAATCGCCATTATGCACGTGGGGATACTAACACAGGAATTACTATTAAAATACACTATGTGAGACACATAACATTAAAAGCATACATTTAACATATCCCCAGATAGCTCAGGTCTGAGCGCACATTGTTAAGCGAATGGCGCTCAGACCACACGAATACAGTTTAATCGCCATGGAGCTAAAGTCTTTACACAGTCAGTTTCATGCGAATGGGCTCCATGGGAGTCCTATCTGGGGTATAACACATTCAAACAAAACTACCGAACACCGGGCCGTTTGTGCCCTTTCACTGAACAAGAAGGGAGGTCGGCGGCGTCAGCGGTGTTCGCACAAAACTGTGTCCGATTTCAGTTCCATGAATTAAGCGTCAAACACCGCTGTGCGTTTGCATGTTTAAAATGGCTGTGACCTCGTGTTCGTGATACGAATGGCATTCGTCAATTAAGCTTCAGGGAGGCTAATTGCTGACACACTCCAGCTCCCAGGTGGTCCAGTCATTCGTGCGGTTGTTCGGTAGATTGAATCTACCGAACACCAGGCAGAAAAGAACGAATAAATCTTTTCTGCAGGTAAAAAAAGATGTCTTTTAATATGGGGCCATAGTCCAAAGGCAGCAGGCGAGCAACCAGGCTTCTCCAATGCAATGTGGCGAGATTGCTCTCGTCACAGGTGTAATCTGCACTTTTGTGCCAAGGGATAGCTACTTCCCCAGCATGCATGATTTTGACTGACCCCCTAAACTCTGTCCCAGACTGTCAGATGTCAGTTCTGAGCATAAAATAGGTCTCATCAGCATGCACTGCTTGAAGGCAATGGACATAACGAGCTTCTCCCTCCCCACCTCCATACGTTCACTATAGCTAGTTTTTTTTTTTTGTTTTTTTTTTTATTCAATTTCAACTCTCCCCGGCTAAGACTGACAAAGGGAAACAGTCCATTAGAAGACCGCACAAGGCCTTTGCTGAGGTCGGATGGAGGTGTGGAAGACCGCGACAAGAGGTGGTAAACAAAAACAAAAACACACTTTTTGTTGCAGGTTTTTCTTGCAAAATTTAGGTGGGGCTAATCGATAGTAGCCAATAGGGCATTTAAATAGAAACATGTTGTGACAAACACCCCTTTTCAAGTGAGTTTGCCACGAGTTCTTGGAGGAGCCGGCTTGCCAGCCTCCTGCCCACAGACTATGAACCTTGTATAATGTGATATAAAAGTCTCAGTTTGCATATTAGGATTATGTGGTTTGGGAACCGAACAGCCGCACAAACCGGAGACCACGCTGGAGCTTGTTAAGCCTAATTGCAACATAGTAACAAATTCCACCTCAGTGTTCTAAGTGTTTGTCTGGGTGGCCACAATTCCTATGGACGACTACGAGGTGTTCGCATGAACACAGGCAGCGGTGTTTGGGCATGAATCTCATGGAACTAGAATCGGACACAGACTCCCGAACACCGCTGGACATGCATCGTCACCTGCGTTCGGTTCTACACAAGTTAGAAGGGCACTGTTCGGTGGAATCGTTCGTCTGAACAAGGGGAACAAGCTCTAGGGTAAGACCATTATTATTTATTATTATTGGCATTTATAAAGTGCCTATAAATTCCACAGCGCTGTACAACTGGGAAAAAGACAAACAATAATAACAGACCGATACAGCAGGTAGAGGACCCTGCCCGTCAGCTTACAATCTAAAGGTTAAACTGGGGAGATGAGACAAGAGGTAGCAGAGGGATTTGTATATTATAGCAGAGAGAGTTAATAGTATAACTGCAGCAGCTGATAGCATGTGAAGGGAATGAGGAGGTGATTGGCTATGGTTTCAAACAGCTGGAAGAGCCTGCTATATAGTTCGAAGGAACCAGGGTGGGCAGGTAGAGCGGAGAAAAATTAAACTGTGAAAAATTGACTGTGTTCTGTAGTTTGTTCGTTTTTAAACTACCGAACTAGACCGACCGCTAGCCCTAATTCTATGGAACAGTTTTGGGAATGGGACCATGCGTGTGGTCGGTCAAACAAATGACTTCCAGGAAATTCCTGAACTGATCTGGGTGATTTTGGGATATGTTGGTCACACAGATCAGTGCTATCAGAAGATGCAACTTTTGTGGGGTTTTATGTATTTTTAGGATACTTTTGGGGTGTTTTGGAAAAAGTATGTTTTTTCCGTGCTTGGAGATAATTGGATTAGATTAGTACAGTTCCTGATCCAATTATCTCCCAGGCACAGAGGAGGGATTATCGGTTTTTGTATGGGAGTGTCCTGGACCTGAGAGCCAATGTAACTGTGTATTTGTTTGTACTGTGCTTTACTCTCAGGTCCAGGAGGAGTGCCCCTTGCATGGGGACATACATATAATGCCAGTTGTGGCAGCCATTAAAGTATTCCAGATTGTACTCCCAGAACTAAGTGTCGTCTGGTTACTGGGAGGGGCAAGGGCTACTCTTTAATCACAGTTCCAGTGTGGACATTCAACAGGAAAGTCCTTGTAAGTACTAGAGCTCCCAGGACTGAGTGTCGTCCAGTGTCTGGGGGTGTCTAGAGTGAATTCCCTTCGGCTCCAGGAGAGAGTGGGTCCAGGGCCCCAGTCAAGCGACGACAACTGTGGGCAGAAGTGCTGGGTTTTGTTCCCTGTTCCAGCTAGGAAGCGGTCGTTGGCGGAGGTACCGAGCCGAGGTACAGGCAGCTCCATTACACAAGTCTTCCACAAATAAGGGTTGGAGTAACCCTTTGAATGTAACTAGCAGGCTCACTCATGCATAGTAAAGGACAGAATGGCAAACAAAGTAAGAACTTTATAATATATAGATGGTTTCAGCAAACAAGTATAAATCATCTCTCACCAAACTAGAATTGCTGGGAAAAGAAAGCATGTTCTTGTAATAAATGGGGATGACTGAATCATTATTTTACTGAAATAGCCTACAGCAACAAATAAAGAATAAAACTAAACTCAAAATACTTGGTACAGACCTAAGGCTACTCTAAGCATACAAAGCGTCAAGACAAGACAAAAATGTTGTCTTTTTGTAAATTGGGAGAGAGTAAAGTACACAAGTACACATTTATGGAAGCATTGATAGATGAAGGTTTGTTAAGTTGTGCATATATTTTTTATTCTGTGTTCATACTGTAACCCATACAATGCATACTTTCATTTAAAGCAATCAAAATAAAAAATTATAAGAAATTATATATTTATATATACACACACGCACACACACAGTTGCAAGAAAAAGTATGTGAACCCTTTGGAATGATATGGATTTCTGCACATAATGGTCATAAAATTTGATCTGATCATCATCTAAGTCACAACAATAGACAATCACAGTCTGCTTAAACTAATAACACACAAAGAATGAAATGTTGCCATGTTTTTATTGAACACACCATGTAAACATTCACAGTGCAGGTGGAAAAGTATGTGAACCCTTGGATTTAATAACTGGTCCTCCTTTGGCAGAAATAACTTCAACCAAACGTTTCCTGTAGTTGCAGATCAGACGTGCACAACGGTGAGGAGTAATTCTTGACCATTCCTCTTTACAGAACGGTTTCAGTTCAGCAATATTCTTGGGATGTCTGGTGTAAATCGCTTTCTTGAGGTCATGGCACAGCATCTCAATCGGGTTGAGGTCAGGACTCTGAGCCACTTCAGAAAACGTATTTTCTTCTGTTTAAGCCATTCTGTTGTTGATTTACTTCTATGCTTTGGGTCATTGTCCTGTTGCAACACCCATCTTCTGTTGAGCTTCAGCTGGTAGACAGATGGCCTTAAGTTCTCCTGCAAAATATCTTGATAAACTTGGGAATTCACTTTTCCTTCGATGATAGCAATCCGTCCAGGCCCTGAAGCAGCAAAGCAGCCCCAAACCATGATGCCCTCACCACCATACTTCACAGTTGGGATGAGGTTTTGATGTTGGTGTGCTGTGCCTTTTTTTCGCCACACATAGTGTTTGTGTTTCTTCCAAACAACTCAACTTTGGTTTCATCTGTCCACAGAATATTTTGCCAGTACTGCTGTGGAACATCCAGGTGCTCTTGTGCAAACTGTAAACGTGCAGCAATGTTTTGTTTGGACAGCAGTGGCTTCCTCTGTGGTATCCTCCCATGAAATCCATTCTTGTTTAGTGTTTTACGTATTGTAGATTCGCTAACAGGGATGTTAGCATTTGCCAGTGACTTTTGTAAGTCTTTAGCTGACACTCTATGATTCTTCTTCACCTCATTGAGCAGTCTGCGCTGTGCTCTTGCAGTCATCTTTACAGGACAGCCACTCCTAGGGAGAGTAGCAGCAGTGCTGAACTTTCTCCATTTATAGACAATTTGTCTTACCGTGGACTGATGAACAGCAAGGCTTTTGGAGATACTTTTATAACCCTTTCCAGCTTTATGCAATTCAACAATTCTTAATCGTAGGTCTTCTGAGAGCTCTTTTGTGCGAGGCATCATTCACATCAGGCAATGCTTCTTGTGAAAAGCAAACCCAGAACTGGTGTGTGTTTTTTATAGGGCAGGACAGCTGTAACCAACTGTCACGTATTCATCCGCTTATAGAAATGTGGTTAATGACATTTACTGTTCACACAGGAAAAGTTGTGCCGAGCAGCAACCTAATCCACAGAAGGGTTAATGCTGAGCAGTAATTGTGCAAATGAAACCTGGTGTCATGTATTCATCCGCTTATAGAAAAGTGATTAATTACATTTACTGTCCACACAGGAAAAGTTGTGCCGAGCAGCAACCTAATCCACAGAAGGGTTAATGCTGAGCAGTAATTGTGCAAATGAAACCTGGTGTCATGTATTCATCCGCTTATAGAAAAGTGATTAATTACATTTACTGTCCACACAGGAAAAGTTGTGCCGAGCAGCAACCTAATCCACAGAAGGGTTAATGCTGAGCAGCAATTATGCAAATGAACCTGGTAACTGACTTTGGGGTCAAAGGCCGGTTACAGCCTATCAGAACTAAAGGAGGGGTATTTAGGCCCAGTTCTCAGCCTGCTCAGTGCCCTGTCGTGGTTTCCCTTGTGGTTGTCTGAGAGCGCGTTCCTGTTTATAGTTTTCTACCTGGTTTTTGACTTTGGCTTTGTTTATTGACTTCTCTATATTCTGGCATCCTGACTCCTGGCTTTCCTCATCGCTGTGTCCCTTTCTGTGTTCCCTGACCTCGGCTAGTATTTTTGACTATTCTTTGTACGTTAAATCCGGCCATTCTAAGGACCGGTAATACGTTACTTATTTGTCATCCGTGCTGTACAGTTCTACGTGCTGGATCAAACAGTAATCCTGACACCAACACCTCCAATCTCATCTCATTGATTGGACTCCAGTTGGCTGACATCTCACTCCAATTAGCTCTTGGAGATATCATTAGTCTAGAGGTTCACATACTTTTTCCACCTGCACTGTGAATGTTTACATTGTGTGTTCAATAAAAACATGGCAACATTTCATTCTTTGTGTGTTATTAGTTTAAGCAGACTCTGATTGTCTATTGTTGTGACTTAGATGATGAGCAGATCACATTTTATGACCAATTTGTGCAGAAATCCATATCATTCCAAAGGCTTCAACCTATAGTTTCTGTAAGTTTTCCTGTAATTGTCCTATTTATAGGTAAATCCCCCCTCTAATATTGTAAAGCGCTACGGAATCTGTATAAATGATAATATATATTCTCTCTCTCATATTAAGCTTGTGTTTGGCAATATAAAGGGCATCCACAAACATTAAAAATTTAACAGGTAGTTCAAGCATATAAACCTCTACAGGTACCACCTTCTTAAAATTATTAGCTGCTAAACACATAAAAGATTATTGCTAAAATCTTAGAACAAATAGTGAATTGAAAGTGTAAGCGCTTAGTAGATCGGTCCCATAGTAAATTTTAATGGGTTCTAATACAGATATATTAGCAATATTGTGCAGAGCCTATATATCTATACACACATCCCCAGTGGTGTGTAAGATATATTTAGAGTATTAGGGATATACCAATAAACATAAATTGTGTAAAATAATCAAAATGTATTATATTTTAAAACACAGGTATTCTGAACTATTGCTATAAATAGCTGCTAGATTCCTAGTTAGGAATACCTGTGTATTAAAATATAACACATTTTGAATTTTTTACACAATTTATGTTTATTGGTATATCCCTATCTAATAATCTAAATATATCTTGCACACCACTTGGGAAGTGTGTATAGATATATAGGCTCTGCAAAATATTGCCAATATATCTGCATTAGAACCCATCAGAATTTACTATGGGACCGATCTACTAAGCGCTTACACTTTCAATTCACTATTTGTTCTAAGATTTTAGGAATAATCTTTTGTGTGTTTAGCAGCTAATAATTTATTATAGTCTTACCATTATTCTTTATACTTTTTAGTATTATTTGCGCTTTTTTGTTTAACAATTTCAACTTACAGGTACCGGTTGAAAATATTTAAAAAAGTTACAACTATTAAAACATGATTCCAGGATATATTTACCCTTAATTTACATATTATAAATAGAACGCATAAAAAAAACCCCCAAAAAACACACATGCAAGTTGTAATGCTGGTTTTAGTAATGGATCTAAATGAGCCTACTTTGACTTTCACATTAGCCAGTAAATTACATATCTCTCAGGAAAGCCCTGGCCTTTTGTGGATCTACAATTAGTATGGGTAATTTACGACTACATGTCGCATGCTTACCAACTTCCTACTGGAATCAATAAGATGTGATACATGGTGTATGTGTGTGTATTTAACAAATCGTTCCCTAGTCAACGTGCAGTTAGCATGAGTGTTTTTAGGTAGCCAGGTCGATGATAACACCAATACGAGCACAAAGAGAGATACTGGATAATTTTAAAAGATAAATTTAAAAATCATTACCATGCATTAAATATCATTGTAATTTCATATAATTAAAATGTTGGAGTATCGCCCTTCATAATTCAGCCCACACACATACAATGCTGGTGTTTAATAAGAAGGCAGAAATACTACACTACCAGATGCCAATTTAAAAAAATATCCCAAAGACACTTAAGTTCTTAACCCCTTAGCGACCGAGGACGGTTCAGGACCGTCATCAGCATTTTTGCCTTGAGGACCGATGACGGTCCTGAACCGTCCTAACGGTCTGGGGGTACTTACCTGATCGCCGTCGTTCCCCCGGCGGCGATCAGCGTTGCTCCGGTTGTGGGGAGACTGCCTGCAGCCCAGACAGTCTCCCCACACTGGATTAGGACCCCTGTGGCCATGTGATCGCTTAACACAGCGATCACATGGTCACAATAGGTGTCCTAGTGTCTGCCTGCAGGGGGACTGCCTGTGCTGACAGGCAGTCTCCCTGCTAGTGTAAAATCATGTGATTAATGACATTTATTGTCATATATTATAGATATATATATATGACATATATTATTAGATATATATATATAGATATATATATATATATATATATAGATATATATTCTAAGTATATATATATATATATATATATATATATATATATATATTTTTTTTTTTACACTATTTATTTTACTTTTATTTTCAGCCAGCAGGGGGACCACCTGTCATTACAGGCAGCCCCCCTGCTGGCAATGCAGGAGGCAGCTACCCCCGGCCATGTGATTGTGGGGTCCTCGCAGGCTTTGAGGAGGACGGATGTGCCGCGGTGGGCTCCCTGGGAGTCCCCCCCACCGCCATCGCTGGCGACCGGGTAAGTACCGAAAGACCGGAGGGCGTACTATTACGCCCAGCGGCGTTTAGAGCCGCTTAGAATAGGGCGTAATAGTACGCCCTCCGGTCTGAAGGGGTTAAAAACATGGCTGGAGTCCCTGGGCCCTCTCTTATATGCACATACATGACAGCTTCACGGAGATGGATAGATATATACACATCCACCATACAAAATTGCTTTTAATTCCAACATATAAAAAGATAGTACAATAATTTGTCAACATTACAACCCCCATGCAGTGTTTTCCCTGGACACCAATACATGCAAAAATACTGGCACTAGTATATCCCAAAGTGTGATTTTTATTTTGGCACCCAAATCTGCATGTTAGTTAAGTAGAAAATCCAAAAAAACATTTATGAAATTCTTTTGGCAGGTTTCTTTGGGAAGGGGGGGTGTATAAGAAAGCTTATCTTAAAATAGCTGCACTAGTGGAAGCGATTAGGGCAGATACACTAAAGAGTTTGGAGGCAGATCACACACTACACACATGCTTACTATTGGGAGACAGAGGATGAAACACTTTTTTTTGTGTTAACAAAGTAAAACCAGAGTCAGTTGTGGCTATTGAGGTGTTGAAGAATTGTTCCAGATCAGCTTTTGTATCTCAGTTTTTCCATTTAGATTTAATTCATGAAAATTCAGACTTTAGTTAATAACCCTATCTATGCACAGGGCTCTAGGCAGGTGCCCAAATCAATATAAAACAAAAATTATGAATATATATATATATATATATATATATACACATACATATACACACACACACACACACACGCAGAGAGAGTCCCAGTAAGGATTAATCTGATAAGAGCAAGCATTAAGCTACAAAGTACGGGGCACATTGAAGTTGTGGCAGGCTTATGCAATATATGATCATATAATGTAACTGAGCCCCCATTATTTTTTGCCTAGGTGAGGTGTTTTTAAATAAAACTATTACAATCTCTAAGATTTGAAATCATTGTTTAGTGAATAAGCGAGTGCGCTGGATTGTATAGTTCATATTTTATATATTCACCTCTGTATTTACAGCCCTGGCAAGTAGGAATTCCCATTAGTGTAACATGGATCCTCGAGTCTAGGCTTATAGTGGCAAGCAACTTTTAAAGTGGTGTACAGGGTCCTTCCCAAAACCAAAAAAAAAAAAAAACTTTTGGAAGGAATATAAATTTGTTTCAGCCATTAGTGGATTTGGTTTGGGATTCCAGACAAGTCTTTCAGTGATTAAATTAGTAGACAAGTCCCTAATGTGATACTCTTATGTGGAATTGCCATATTTAAGGGTACCAATTTAGGGAGATGGCTATTTTTAGTACATAGCTCCCTTATTTGGTATCCTTAAATATGGCAATTGCACATAAGTATACAAGTTAGGGAGCCATCTAGTAAGCAGCTGATATTTTAAAAATAAATAAAACGTCTGTTTCAGAATTTTGATCTTTTAGCTGTTTAGTGGATTGCTTCATAATTTGGTACGCTTATGTTGGATTGACGATATTTAAATGAACACTTTAACTTGTTGAAGTGCTTTATGTGTGAAGAGCATGTTATCTTTTTTTAATTTTACAAAAAGTGCAGATTTCAATACAAATTGGCACTTTTATAAAGTAACTTTGTTACACCTCCCAGCTGTTAGAAAACCAGTCATGTGGTGGAGCTAAACTCAAAAGGCAAGCAGTTGCACAGTGCATCTGCCTTGCAAAGGCTTTTCTCTACGAGGTTTGTTGAGAAGTCTGTGATTTAACAGCCACATAAAGTTTGTGCTGGGGAAGACGGGGTGTCACATCACAACACAATTACTCCACAGATCAAAGAGAGCAGAAGAATCATCTAACAAAAAACAATGCAAAGGATCATTTTCATTAATGCCTTCGAGGAGGCAAATGTTTTAGAGTGCGCTGTTCTGACACCCTTCTCCAGCAATGGATTTCTTACTTCTCAATGTTGGGAGGTATGCCAAAGATCCCCTATATATTGACAATTTTGTATTTAACACACACACACACAAAACACAACAAAGAGACACTAAGCACCAAAATGATGACATGGTTTGTGAGAAATGGGGATGTTTACATTTGGCCAAAAACACATCTCTAATCGCATTCAGGCAATTTTTATAAGCATTTCCTCCTTATGAGCATAAATTTTAATAGATCTTCAGGAAGCAACTAATGCTTCTCATAAAGAAGTACTGGATTCAATATGCAATGCTTCTCAGTGACAAGAGATCAAAAGCCTGATGCTCGCCCTGTAAGCAGATTGACATGTAACAAGGAGTCTTCGTGCTGGATTATAGATATGTTTATAAGCTTCTAGTTTTAAACATTTTGTTAAAAACCTAGAAACTAATTAGGAAGGCATCTGACGTAAAAATACATACATTTTTAACAGAGCATTACATTATTAAATGTAAATTTGGCAACGCAATAAGCATCATACTGGATTTTAATTAAAACTGTTCACATAGTTAAACAAAATATAATACTAAATTAAATAAATTGGGCATGGTCAACAAATAATACAACCCTGAATTTGTAGAACCCAGAAATACTTGACAGGTACCAGAATTAAAATTTATTGTAAAGTGTGGGTTTTGTTTAAAAATTTTGTTTTTTGTTTTTTTTGTCAGAAAGACACTTTAGGACAAAATACATTTAAATATTTTATAAAACAGAGGGCTTAAGAAAAAAACATTTACATATGGATTCCATGTCACCATGGTGACACACAAATAGGGTTTAGCTCCCAACATATGCTTCCCTATAAGTCAAGAGAGAGATCAAAATATCTTCCCTGACGGATACACACTGGCCAGTTTAACCGAACACTACAAGGACCGGCTTGCCTCAAGAGCTTTAACCATCGAGTGGATTAGCCCCAAAATCTTGAACCTCCACTGCTGCTGGAGGAGGGAAGGAAGAAGATATGGTGTATCCACAGCATTATCAGTGTTTAGTGGGTGTGGGCTGTCTCTAAAGAATACAATAGCAGAGGTAGTTTTCCCTCCAGCTATTGCACCTCGCATACTGAATCTTAATGGATAGCACCATGAGAAAAGAACATGCCACACTCAATGAATACATCACTTGAGTGTCCAAGGAGAGTGGAGAAATCCATCTCTGCTACTGCATTAAGCAGAGACGGCTCATTCCCCCACTATACAACAGGTACAGAGCTAATATGTGTGCATTTGTGCCTGTAGCAGCTTAAGCCATAATATCGTAGGGTAATTTGTCATTCCCTGATTTAGTAGACTAATTATGCACATTACATGTACCCAAAAATCTTTAACAGATACAACATTATCATTATATATATTTCAATAAACACAACAGTCATAGTTTTCCTGGAAAAACAGCAACAGCCACCGGGATTCATCTTGAACACGTAAAGAACTTCTATAACATAAATGGTGTTTCATCCTGGATTTTAAACTTTTCAGTTTTCATAACATAAGACAAATACACATTTTTTTTATATAGTCATTGTCTGTGCTCTACTGCAGGGTACAATATATGCAGTCTCTTTTAGAGATTAAATTCATATTTGTTTGTGTGTGAAAAAAGTAAAAAAACTAAATTGAACGCTAATTTTGGCCAGTGTTTGTGACCAAGTGGTTACTAAAAAGACTGGACATACCCCATTTGCAATACCTTGGGTTGTCTTCTTTGCAAATGGTATGCCATCATGGGGGTAATTCTCATTCCTGGGCTACCATATGCTCTCAAAGGCAACGTAACCAACCTGGCCATTTTCAATGTAAAAATATTTGACCCATATATTTGACCTTGTAACTTTCAAAAATGCTATAAAACCTGTACATGGGGGGTACTGTTTTACTCGGGAGACATCGCTGAACACAAATATTAGTGTTTAAAACTAGAAAACGTATCACAACAATTATATCATCAGTAAATGTGCTGTTTGTGTGTGAAAAATGCAAAAAAAAACTTTCACTGACAATATCATCGCTGGGATATGTTTTACTGTTGTGAATCACTAATATTTGTGTTCAGCGAAGTCTCCTGAGTAAAACAGTACCCCCCATGTACAGGTTTTAGGGTGGTAGAACGTTACAGGGTAAAATACAGTGCTAGCCAATTAAATTCTCTGGAATTTCGGCCTGGGTTGGCAGGCAGGTCCCTCAAATTGCAATCAATAAAATTACTGAATTATGTAAAAATATTACATAAATACGCACGTAGAATTTAAATATATGCATATTTATATATTTGAAGTCTACGTGTATATTTATATAATTATTTATGTAATTTTGTATATGGACGTATGTATATTTCTTATTATTTTTAATTATTTTTATATACATAGATATATATACAAATTCATTCTAAGTGTATTTTGATATAAATATATATATATATTAATTTTAAAATACAGTTAGAATAAAATTTCATATAGCTATATAATTTTTTTTAAATTTTTTATTATTATTTTTAAAAAAAATTATTTAATTTAAATTACTTATTAGTTATATTTTATAATAATATATATATATACAATATATATAGTTATTATATATATTATATATATACGTGTGTAATTTAATTATAAGTGTATTTTTATATTAATATAAGTACATATTAATATAAAATACACTTAGTATGACATTATATATATGATATATAGACATATATTATATAGATATAATATATGTCTATATATCATATTTATACATATATAATTATTATTATTTTTTTTATTACCATTAACTTTAATTTTTTTTTTGATTTTACAGTTGCAGGGAGACTGCCTGTCAGTACAGGCAGTCCCCCTGCAGGCAGATGGACACCTATTGTGACCATGTGATGGCTGTGTTGAGCGATCACATGGCCACAGGGGTCCTTTGGGGAGACTGTCTGGGCTGCAGGCAGTCTCCCCACAACCGGAATGATCGCCGCCGGGGGAACGACGGCGATCAGGTAAGTAGCCCCAGACCGTTTGGACGGTTCAGGACCGTCATCGGTCCTCAAGGCAAAAATGCCGATGACGGTCCTGAACCGTCCTCGGTCCTTAAGGGGTTAATGTTTCAGATTTTTAATTTTAGGCAAATTACTCTTTAAAAAACAGAATATCAACTCATTGTCAATTTCTTTTTTGTAATTAAGGCAGCATCAACTTTTAGGTGATCGTCCTTTCTATAGGAATTGGGCAGACAGCTCCAGCAAACTTTTAAATGTGCTTCCTCTTTAATCAACTATCAACTACCAGGATCCAAAGTCAAACAAGACACCAAGCACTGTAAAAATGCAATTTAAACGGGAAAGGGAAAATAGTGCTGCTTCAAATACTAAGGAAAAAGGAACTTCGAGTTAATAAAATACTGTTTTCCTTTGTGCCCATACTGGGGGGGGGGTCTTTGTTTTCAAATGAGAAGTCTTTGCAAGGCAGGTGCTATGGGCAATTACTGCCTCTTGAGTTTAGTTCCACTGAGCTAACCACACCAGGAATCAACAGGACCGATTGTCTGCTTGAAAGCCAGGGGGTGTAACCAGGTTAAATTTATAAAAGTGTGTATTACTATTGAAATCTGCACTTTTTTCAAAAATGAAAAAAATAAGACACACTCTTTACACGTCCTTAGGTGGCATCAATGGGTGCAATGTGTAGTCTGCAAAAGTGTATTTCTAATGCTAGCGTCCCTCAGCCATAAGGCTATAGGTCACCACCCACCCCCTGGTGTGGAAAGGGTTAAAACATTTTTAAAAATAAATAAAAAAAATCCCTTGGTGCTGGCTCCAATTGCACCACCTCTGACGTCAACAATGGGGGAGAGGTTACTGCGCATATGCGGCGAGCGCCATGTGCGCATCAGGCCTTCCCCATAGGAAAGCATTGAATAAATGCTTTCCTAAGGGAAATTTTTAAGACACTGGACATCCCCATACAAAGCGTGAGGACGTCCAGCGGTGTTTCATGAAGTTAAACCCTACGTAAATGGTGGAAGTTCCGATAAAGGCAGTCTTAATCTTGCAATATAAACATTGCATGGGTAAGGAAACAGGGACACTGCACCTAAACCACTTCAATAAGATAAGGTGGAAGGGGTGCCTATAGTGTCTCCTTAAGCCTATTGTGTTTTCAGGTCTGACCTTGGCACCAAAACAAGGTTTAAAACAGTGGAACTCCATTCAGAGACCTGCATGCACCAGAGGAAGACGGTTTTATACGTTGAAACGCATTGTGCTGTATGTTACTGGTGTGATTAAGAATACCGTGTGACACTCCAGAACCTTTAATTTAAGATTTTTAATCGTAGTTTAAATAAATGCTGTTGATTTTACATTTATGAATGGAGTCTCTCCCTTGTTTTACCTCTGAGGATAAAATTGCTACTCATTCCTATCCAGGAAATACCAGTACCACACACTACCTGATTTACCTGAGCCATTTATTAACAGGCTCATACAAATGTTAAAGGACCACTATAGTGCCAGGAAAACATACTCGTTTTCCTGGCACTATAGTGTCCTGAGGGTGCCCCCACCCTCAGGGACCCCCTCCCGCCCGGCTCTGGAAGGAAAAAAAAACAAAACAAAAAAAAACTTACCTTTTTCCAGCACTGGGCGGGGAGCTCTCCGCCTCCGATCCGCCCCGTCGGCTGTATGCGCACGCACGGCAAGAGCTGCGCGCGCATTCAGCCGGTCGCATAGGAAAGCATTATCAATGCTTTCCTATGGACGCTGGCGTGCTCTCACTGTGAAAATCACAGTTAGAATCACACAAGCGCCTCTAGTGGCTGTCAATGAGACAGGCGCTAGAGGCTTTGGGGGAAGGCTTAACCCATTGATAAACATAGCAGTTTCTCTGAAAGTGCTATGTTTATAAAACAGTGGGTTAACCCTAGCTGGACCTGGCACCCAGACCACTTCATTAAGCTGAAGTGGTCTGGGTGCCTAGAGTGGTCCTTTAATGTGATACAAACTATTAGTTTATTAATGGATCCATAAAATTCCTTATCTTTGCTGTACTGCTCTATGAAAGTGTTTTGTTTCATATACTTATAGTGACATGTACCTCTAATCACATACTGAATTATGTGTATCTGTGTAAGTGTTTTATACAAATTTTATGGTGGAGTACAAGGACACTGTTTTGGGCACTTTACTGTAAGCTGGGACTTTTAGGGATGCTATGGTATTTTATTGCCCTGTTCACTTTTGTGTAATTTGAGATATTGATTTCATTGTTTGACAGCTACACCTTGTTCACTATACAGCGCCGTTTGCACTGCACACATGTTTCATTTGACAAGATGACTGGACATCCTGGTGTAAGTAAAAACTAGAGTGTTAGTATTGCGGAACGTTTGGTGGCCAACTCTGAAAGGGAATGTTAAAGAGTATGTAAGGTTTTGTCTTTGGCACAAATGTCTGTACAGTTCCTTGAGGTTTATTACAACCCTTACCACAGAAATCCTGTTTTTCCATGGATTTCATTGCTGACCACCCCCTCCAATGGGTTTAATGTCATACTTATGAATGTAGAGCGGTTCTCTAAGATGCCTCACTTTATACCCCATAGGAAACAGACCTTCTCCTCAAATGTTCGCTCACGTTTTGCTGATTTGCATAATACTTGGTAACAAGTATAACAACTTGTCTATGCGACAAGGTACAAGTTGACACTAATCATTGTGGAGCTCCTTCTTACATGGCAGGTGATAGGGTTTGGCTTTCTAATCACAAGATCCGCCTCAGAATTTCTTCCATGAAGCTGGCTTCTCGTTTTATGGACCCTTTTTGTTTCCTGCCTAAAATTAATAATGTATCTTATGCTTTGTATTAGCCTAGTGCTATGCACATATCTAATGTTTTTAACATCTCTCTGTTGAAACCTCTTTTGTGTAACAGTTACACTAGCTAGACCTGGTAACTCCATCTCCAATCCAGATTGATGGCGAGGAGGAATAGGAAGTTCAGTCTATTCTTGACTTGCAAGGTTGGGTTCCTGCTGTTGATGTCCAGGCTTCTCGTTTGATTCGTTCTTTTCATTTCCATCATCCTGACAGGCATGGCCTTCATGCCCCGGTTTGAGTTTCCTCCATGGGCACTATTGTAAGGGAACATCCTTAAGTGCTGTCAATGGATGCAACATCACTTCCAGTTTTGTTTTGATTTGGTCACATCACCTGGGCGACCTTGTTTCTGCACTCTCTGGTGTTACACAGGTGACGTAGAACAATCAAAACAAAATGAGCACTATTTAAGCCCATTTTGGTTCTATGCCCTATCGTGGTTTCTTAGTTCCCAATTATTGTGTTCTTAAAGCCTATTCTGTATGTATCCTGGTTTGACCATGGCTACTTTAAAGGAATTTTGCATACCTTTGTGTCCCTGACTGACTAGTACATCTACTTATCCATCTATCTGTAACATAGAAACATAGAATGTGACGGCAGATAAGAACCATTCGGCCCATCTAGTCTGCCCAATTTTCTAAATACTTTCATTATTCCCTAGCCTTATCTTATAGTTAGGATAGCCTTATGCCTATCCCACGCATGCTTAAACTCCTTTACTGTTAACCTCTACCACTTCAGCTGGAAGGCTATTCCACGCATCCACTACCCTCTCAGTAAAGTAATACTTCCTGATATTTTTAAACCTTTGTCCCTCTAATTTAAGACTATGTCCTCTTGTTGTGGTAGTTTTTCTTCTTTTAAATATAGTCTCCTCCTTTACTGTGTTGATTCCCTTTATATATTTAAATGTTTCTATCATATCCCCCCTGTCTCGTCTTTCCTCCAAGCTATACATGTTAAATCCTTTAACCTTTCCTGGTAAGTTTTATCCCGCAATCCATGAACCAGTTTAGTAGCCCTTCTCTGAACCCTCTCTAAGGTATCAATATCCTTCTGAAGATACGGTCTCCAGTACTGTGTACAATACTCCAAGTGAGGTCTCACCAGTGTTCTGTACAATAGCATGAGCACTTCCCTCTTTCTACTGCTAATACCTCTCCCTATACAACCAGGCATTCTGCTAGCATTTCCTGCTGCTCTATTACATTGTCTGCCTACCTTTAAGTCATCAGAAATAATCACCCCTAAATCCCTTTCCTCATATGTTGAGGTTAGGACTCTATCAAATATTCTGTACTCTGCCCTTGGGTTTTTAAGTCCAATATGCATTATCTTGCACTTATCCACATTAAATGTCAGTTGCCACAATTCTGACCATTTTTCTAGTTTACCTAAATCATTTGTCATCTGGCTTATCCCTCCTGGAACATCAACCCTGTTACATATCTTAGTATCATCAGCAAAAAGACATACCTTACCATCAAGACCTTCTGCAATTCACTAATAAAAATATTAAAGAGAATGGGTCAAGTACAGATCCCTGAGGTACCCCACTGGTGACAAGTCCAAGCTTCGAATATACTCCATTAACTACAACCCTCTGTTGCCTGTCACTCAGCCACTGCCTTACCCATTCAACAATATTGGAATCCAAACTTAAAGATTGCAGTGTATTGATAAGCCTTCTATGTGCAACAGTGTCAAAAGCTTTACTGAAATCTAGGTAAGCAATGTCTACTGCACCACCCTGATCTATAATTTTAGTTACCCAATCAAAAAAATCAATAAGATTAGTTTGGCATGAGCTCCACGTCCCTGGGCAAGAATGTGGTCAATGACCATTGCTCTATCCTGCCTGATCTTTAGGACATATCTAATTAGGGCCACAGGAGGGAAGACATAAACCAACTGAAAAACACTGAAGAACTGAGAGAACATACAATGAGAAAAAAAAAAAAAAATAGCATGTATCCAGTTGACAGGGAGTTAAAGTGATAAATTATTCTGTTTTTACAAGATGCCATAAGAGCTATCACTTCCCAAATACCAAGGTCACATAAATAAGTTCGAGAGGCTGTACTCCCACTCTGCTGAGATTGTCTGCCAAGAAATGTTCAACCTTTGATGTAAACTGTAGAAAAGCCTCTAGATGCTTAATGCATGATCTGCCTGCATAAATGGGATAGAAATGGACATGAAGAGCCTCCCTGGCGCTTGATAATGTTACTGTGGACTAATGGAGCACTTGAGTATCAGCTGCTTTAAAGTATTCATGGTGTGCCAGGCTGCCTTGTGTTCTTTGTTTGAGGAAGCTATGCCATCTTCTGAATTCCATTTCAATTTAATTCAGTCTGGCCCTACATGCCTCCCCCAACATACTCCTGATCCACCTATAGTATGATCCTATGTGAGTAGGAATAGAAAGTCTACTCTTCAACAAATGTAGAAGTCCTCCACCTCTGAAGATTAAGAACCTTATGTAGATTGATTTGAATTGGACAATATACTTTGTGGAGTGATCCCATTTCTTAAGAATATTTTCCTTGGCAATGGAAGCATTTAAGAAACGCAGCACTCATAGCTTTCAGATCAAATTCATTTTGATACTCCCCAGAATTTGTGTCTGGTCTGTATTTGCTCCGCTCTTAAAAAAAAAAAAAAATTTAAAAAAATAAATAGATCTCATAAATCTCTAATTAAATCCAGGAAAACTTTTTTTTTCTAAAAAAGAAGATGAGACTTTTCAATATTCACAATTCACCTATGAAATGAGAGAAAGTTGATCATTGACACAAGGTCCTTCAGAATGTCCCTGGTAGACGATCTGATGAAACAGTTTTCTAAATAGTGAACTCATTGTACCCTAATCACAGAGCATTTGAAATTAAGTAGACAGTTTCAACAGGGAAAGGCAAATCTTTGAAACTATCAAGAAACAGGCACGTGGAGATGGACATCCTGTAGCTCTAAAGATGCCATAAGATTGTATTTTTTATAGATCGTAGAGGCAGCCCCGATACTTTCTGTAGAAAAACTGTATGATGTTAAACTGCAAGATTGCACCAGGGCACTCTAGGCAGTATAATGCTACAACATGCTGTATTTTTTTGTTGCTCAGAGTTCTCAACATATGAAGCCACTTGTCGACTGCACTAAACACATTCATATTTGTGTGTGTTTGTATATATGATCTACTTATCTATATAATACACATTTTCTCTAATGTTCTCCCTTCTATTTTTCACTTTAACACTAACCTCTGTCATTACTAAAATATCCCTATCCTTTCACTCACCTGTCCCTGGCAACACCATCATCATTACTTCCACCTTACTCCCCTCCCCTCTCTATTCATTCCATGCACTCTACACATACCTTTCCAGCCTATCTCCACCGACTCTTTCCAAATCCTCTACATACATACCCTCCTACAAAACTTTCAAATCCTTCTCTTCCTCTAAATCCTCGTTCAATACTGCCCTCTGGAACGCACGCTCTGTTTGCAATATAACTAAATCCACTGCTGTCCATGACTTCTTCATCTCTCGTTCAATAGATTTACTAGCCTTAACAGAAACCTGGCTCTCCCCCTCTGACACTGCCACCCCTGCATCTTTGTCCTTAGGTGGTCTCCAACTTACCCACACCCCAAGAAACTCTGAATGTAAAGGTGGTGGTGTTGGGTTTCTCCTCTCCCCTCACTGCTCTTTTAAACCTCTTCCCACCCCCCCACCCCTTCCCTCTCTTTCCCATCATTTGAAATACACTCAATTCACCTTTTCAAACCCTTCGCTGCTAACATTGCTGTTATTTACCGTTCCCCACTTCTCTTCCTTGACCATTTTGCTGCCTGGCTACCCTATTTCCTCTCTTCTAACATCCCATCCCTAATTCTCGGGGACTTCAATATTCCTATAAACCCACCCTTGACCTCTGCAGCCAATAAACTACTTTCAATTACTTCCTCCCTCGGGCTATCACAGTGGGCAAATTCTCCCACCCATGTAGCTGGCAATACCCTTGACCTAATCTTCACCTATGCATGTACGGTATCTAATATCTGCAACACTCCTTATCCACTCTCTGATCACCACCTCTTATCATTTGCTCTCACGTACCCCCTCACCCAAAAACCTCTGCCTAACCAGCCTCAACTCAGGAGGGACCTTAATTCTCTTGATCTCCAACAGTTATCAGCGGACATTGATTCACAACTGCTGTCCATCCCTTCCCTATCCTGTCCTTCATTGGCCATCACTATATATAACTCTACTCTTACATCTGCCTTGAACACTGCAGCACCACTCCATACAAGCACCTCAAGGAGGACCCGCCCCCAACCATGGCATACTAAATCAACGCGCTACCTGCAAAGATGCTCCCGTTGTGCTGAACGCTCCTGGAGGAAGTCTCGCACCCAGTCAGACTTTCTCCATTATAGATTCATACTGTGTTCATACAGTGCAGCCCTTGCCCTTGCCAAACAGTCCTATTTTTCCTCTCTCATTAGTTCATGTTCCCGCAACCCCAGGCGTCTCTTTGACACCTTTAATTCTCTTCTTCGCCCCGCTGTGGCCACCCCCCAAATCAACCTTACTGCTGATAACTTTGCATGTTACTTCACTGACGCAGCAAAATCCAAAGGCCACTACTCCATACTTATTCTTCTTGACCTCACAGCGGCCTTTTACACCGTTGATCATGCTCTCCTTCTTCAAACTCTGCAATCGCTTGGTCTCTGTGACTCTGTCCTCTCGTGGTTTTCCTCTTATCTCTCCCAACGCTCATTCAGTGTCTCTTTTTCTAATGATACCTCCTCCCCTCGCCCTGTCTCGGTTGGAGTCCCCCAAGGCTCCGTCCTTGGTCCCCTTCTATTTTCTCTTTATACTGCCTCTCTTGGCAAACTTATTACCTCATTTGGATTCCACTACCACCTGTACGCTGATGACACCCAGCTATATATCTCTCCTCCCCAGACCTCTCCCCTGCTGTACTGCAATGTGTCACTGCTTGCCTTTCTTCCATTTCTGACTGGATGTCCTCCCGCTTTCTGAAACTCAATCTCTCTAAAACTGAGCTCCTTGTCTTTCCTCCTCCTAATACTGATCCTCCTCTTTCGCTCTCCCTTAAAGTTTGTGGTACCAACATCAGCCCATCCTTGCAAGCGCTGCCTTGGCGTTATACTTGACTCTGGTCTCACCTTTGAGCCTCACATCCAGCATGTTGCCAAATCCTGTAGATTCCATCTTAAAAACATAGCCCGCATCCACCCCTTCCTTGCACCAGATACTACCAAGGAGCTTGTCGATGCTCTAATAATTTCCCGCATGGATTATTGTAACCCTCTCCTGCTTGGTCTTCCCAAAAGCCGTACTGCACCCCTACAGTCTGTAATGAACGCTGCTGCTAGACTGATTTTCCTCTCTAGTCGGTTCTCTCACACCTCACCCCTCTGCCAGTCCTTACATTGGCTTCCTGTGTACTATAGGAGTCAATTCAAGGCACTAACTCACACCTATAAAGCACTGAACAACTCTAGCCCCTCTTATATCTCCTCACAGACCCACAGGTATGTCCCTTCTCGGTCTCTCCGCTCTGCCCGTGACCGCCTCCTGTCCGTTGTCCGCACCCGTACAGCCAACTCGCGCTTGCAGGACTTCTCGCGGGCGGCTCCCTTCCTATGGAATAGCCTGCCTCCCGCCATCAGACTCCCCCCTAGTCTTGCATCTTTTAAGAAGTGCCTTAAAACCCATCTCTTTAGGAAAGCTTATGGCCTCCAAGACTAACCCCTACCCCACATACCCGTCTATTGCCCTCTCCTAAAGGGCAGCCCACCTTATTTGATTGCAAATTCCTGTCCTAATGTGTTTTACACCCCTCCTCCTATAGAATGTAAGCTCGATTGAGTAGGGTCCTCTTCAACCTATTGTTCCTGTAAGTTTATTTGTAATTGTCCTATTTATAGTTAAATCCCCTCTCATAATATTGTAAAGCGCTACGGAATCTGTTGGCGCTATATAAATGGCAATAATAATAATAATAATAATAATAATAATAATAATAATAATAAAAGTGTTAATGCATCTTGTATTTTTATACCTTTAATAGCACACACAAAAGTTTCAATACTTTTTTCCAGATTATTTATATTTTGCATGCTAGTAAACACGAATGAAAAGGCTATGTAGAGAGCACTAAAGAGACAACAGATTTCCAGTTATCACTTAATGCATGGTTATGAACTGGCTCGGTCTTATTTCTCAAAAACAGTTAATCAGCCTGAGCCACTGGCGTTGCTGCTGTGTACAAAGACTACAGGGGTCATATTACTGGTCTAACAACCAGGTTCAATTACCTCATGAGCTTACTTTATAACCAAGTCACCTTTATCTGAAAAATTATTAGGAAGTTTGTCTGTTTCTGACCTCCCTGGCTTTCTTGTATCAGATATATTTAACATTTTACACAGCCATTTTAATAATCAATATTTTCCAACATTACACCTAAGTTCTTAAAGTGGAACTGTCCCCATCTGCATAAGTTGCAAAGACTCTTGACGGTGACATCTCTGCTGGAGGTCCAGTGGCATTGGGGGAGCATAGAGGAGTTTTACTTAGCTGTACCTGTCCTTCACGGGCACCGCCACCATCTTCTGCTCCTGGCGCTTCAGGATTCAGTCAATGTGGTGTTTTGCACTACTATCTTTTAGAATAAGGGAATCTTATACATTCCCACATTTGTACTGAGAGACACAATGTAAAACGTTTCAAAAGCCAAACAACTTCAACTGCACTCAAGCTTGAAAAAAAAAAAAAAAGACCTTTTGGTCGAAACATTGCTGCTTGATACTTTAGTTTCAATACATTTACCCAAGTCTTGGAGTGCCTGGCTCTTTTTCTTTCTTCTGTGACTACATAATGTAAAATGGTGTCAGAAGCCCAAAACTGCACTTTGAGTCAGTCTTCTGTTTTATTCAAACATGGGCTGTTTGAGGATATTGGCACTTTTTCTTGCAAATCAATCTCTGGAGTGTTTAAAAGGTTTGTCCTTAACACTGCTTATTTAAACATTTCCTTGAACTTCCAGAATTTAGGTCAGCCAAGAGAAAATGGACCTTTGCAATGAGGCATCGTGGGCAGCCTGCCAACAATGTCCTTTACACTGAAAGTGTTAAAGATCGTATATTTGCTTGAGATGAACCCCCATCTATTTTTTCTTCATTCACATCAAACTTATCTAGTTGAACTTGCTTGTATGTCTATGCTGGTGCTTTTTAAAATATATAGTTCGTAATAAGCAAAGCTTTAGAAAGTGGAAAAGAGACAAATGAAAGTTGTACTTCTATAGAGAGCTGCTTCTCCATAAACATTACCTAATCATAGCTATATAAAGAAACAGCAGCAGGTGGGATTGTTTTAAGCTACTATTACTTTTGTAAAGTAAGAAGAAAGAAATGGATGGCGTTAACTTAAAATTGTTATATAGTTTCTCTTTTATCCCCAAATTAAATAATAATGTCTCTTAGAGGCACACGCACAATTGTCTTGGTTTGTAGGGCTAATTTCAGTTAATGGTGTACTGCTGATAAGCTACATCCCAAGCAGTTTACCATTTGTCCAAAAAAGTTCTTGACGTACAATGTACACAAGAAAGGCTACGTGTGGTTTCTTTCAGACCTGCTGCTATTGTGCTTAAAATATTAAGGAGGAAAAAAAAAAAAAAAGGAAGGAATTAAATGTGATAAGCATAGCAGGTTAGAACTTGTACCATTAGCTAGTAATATTAAAATGGCACTTTAACACAACCATGAGAGCTCAGTGTAGTGGGTACGATGCCAAGCGTCTATGTGCCATCCCCCAGTTTTTGTCAAACACTTTAAAACAACATTAGCACCCTGAGTTTCCTATCTTCAGTATACTGGATAATGTGGAAGTGTAAATTTTGCATTATTAGTTATCAATTCTGACCAATTTGGACTGCAGCAATAGGCTCTGAGTACTGAACTAATATGTCCTCAGGTTATCACTAGCCCTGTATATGTTGGAAACAACTGATATTGATAACAGAGAAGTGTAGATTAAAACAAAATCTCAAAAAAATAAAGCAAAAATTATTGTAAAGGGGATAGGCTAAGAACTACAACAGAAAGTATCAAACCATTTAAAAAAAAAAAAAAGTGTTTGACTACTTACAGCGAGATGGCACCAGGACTTCTGGAACCATAACCACTACAACGTTTAGTTGTAGTTATGATGCAAGACAGACCCTTTACAGTTTAAATGAGATAAATCAATGCTACAGAAAGTCTGAAAAGGATCATACTCCCTTTAAATTCTAAAACATTTGAAAGTGTCACCATCAGAAATGGTCTACAAACCCTTACATATGACTTACACAATTTGTTTCCTGCATGTGGGGTATATACCTACATTTTTTTTTTTCTTGACAGTGAAAAAGCAGGACCTACTCAGAAAATTATAAATGGCATCATATGCTTGCTTCAGCCTTAGTCACAGGGGATTTGTAAATTATAATACACTTCCAAGATGACATACCACACTGGAAAACTGTCAGATCTTCAAGTGATAATTACAGCTAAAATAACTAGATTTGTTAGATGAAAATAATCTGTGTTACTGTTCTAAACAGATTTAATGAAAAGAACCTTTAGTTGAAGTCACTTGAAAGGGAACACAAACGTGAATATTTCATGTTACTTTAGTGGCCTGGTTGCAGTGGTCCTGTAGTTTTAATCTTGCACATTTAAAATTCTTTTTTTTTTTTTTTTTATATAAACTACAATATTTACACCTCATACTGACAGCCAATAGAGGAGCTTCCACGACATGGATTGTAAAACTCAGTAACGTGATGAGCAAACCCCCATAAGAAATGCATGGATGTGTGTGGCGCATAGGCATCAGGCTCGCTCCTCAACGAGAAGCACTGCACTGGCCCATCGCGGAGGAGGACTTGCCTCCTCGGTGATGTTGCATGCCTCCCTGCTGGAAAAAGGTAATGGAGGTGTAAATATACTTAGAGTCATGGACGCTATAAAATAAATCCTGTACATCGTAGATAATATATGGTGCGGTGCATGCAGTATGTTTTGCAGTATACAACAATCAGCTGGTTTTTTTTTTAAATGAACAAAAATCCTCTATATGCCTGAAACCATATAGGAAATTCTGTTTTGCCACTCTTGTTTGCGTGAGTTATTCCACCTAATCTTAGTGTAGCTGATAGAAATAATGAACAAATTTCATGGACAATTTTTGGAATAAAATGTACACCACCAGATGAAAATTTAGAAGTTACGTTGTCATACTATTCAGCGTGCCGAAAAATTTCCCAACCCCCTTCAGTAACAATTTATGTTCATTCAAACCTTTTCCCTTGTTGTTTTAGTTGGCTAATGAAGGATGAATAATTAGGTTAAAGAGCTACTAGGAAAAAACAATTATCACCAGACAAGATTATGATAAAATACACCAACAAGATTTATGAACAAACCAAGCTAATACCATGTGATAAGCGCCTTATATTTCTTCTTTTGGCAGTAGAACGAGTAACATTTGTCCTGTGGATTCTAAAGGAGCTATTTAAAAAGCACAGAGATGAGTTATCACCTAGAATTAGAATATTCAGTAATGTAATCTTGCAATACTCTTAACGTAAGTAACAAACAATGCCATATTTTTAACCAGAATATCTAGAGCTTTATTTTAATACAGTCTGATTAATCTTATTGACAGGTGACTTTTCTTTGGCCAATCTTACTAGTAGGAGTGATAAGGGAGCCATAGTTAACCATTTATCATCTCTACTTGTTCTGGTTCCAGATCTTTGTTAATCAACAACATTCAATTGATACAAAGTGTTAATTCGCAAGACTAAATATGGTAGAAAATTGACAAGGGAATTGCAGAATTCTCCCTAACAAAGATACAGGTCATGTCAATTCTCCAAAATGTCCTGCTTTAGTAAAGAATTCCAATTAAAATGCAGGAGTGTTTCTCTACAAACTCTTTTACACCAAAGCGTAAGCAGACTTTTTTCATTTTATTTTTAACACACAAATATTAAAGGATCACTATAGGGTCAGGAACACAAACATGTATTCCTGACCCTATAGTGTTAAAACCACCATCTAGCCCCCCTGTGCCCCTCATGCCTCCATATATATAGCAAAATCTTACTGTATTCAAGCCTGAAGCTGTAACTCTGCATGCTGTTTGACTCAAAAACAAGCAGGACATCATCAGAAGTGGTAGCTTGATCCATAGGATTGGCTGAGATTGACAAAGAGGTAGATCAGGGGCAGAGCCAGCATGATTCAAACACAGCCCTAGCCAATCAGCATCTCCTCATAGAGATGAATTGAATCAATGGATCTCTATGAGGAAAGTTCAGTGTCTGCATGCAGAGGGAAGAGACACTGAATGTTTGGATGCGTTTTAGGCAGCCATGACCCAGGAAAGATCTCTAACAGCCATCTGAGGAGTGGCCATTGAAGTTATCACTAGGCTGTAATGTAAACACCGCATTTTCTCTGAAAATACAGTGTTTAAAGCAAAAAGCCTGAAGGTAATGATTCTACTCACCAGAACAAATTCAATAAGTTGTAGTTGTTCTGGTAACTATAGTGTCCCTTTAAGCCCTTTTCATTAAAGGGACACTAAAGTAACAATTTTCTACTATTCTGGAAGCTTCTTCTATAGTAGCAATATCCTACTATTCTAGAAGTTTAACAAATATATTCATTACCAGTGCATGTCAACATCTGAATTTTGCACTTCAAACCACTAAAAATTTTACGATTTAAAGCGGCAATGTCACTCAACAGATCACTATAGTAGTTACTGTGCTTGGAGTAACTTTAAAGACAGATAATGTAGATTGCATTTATAAAAAAAATATAGTAAAAGGCACAGAGAAACCCACGGTTAACAATCTTCCCTTTATCTAGTATTGTGTGTGAAATGTCCTAAAACATTATGTTGGCAAAATAGGACACCCACTGTCTAGAAAATTATTCTAAAACAAAAGGGTAGATACAGCAGCAGCTAGTTCAACATCTCAAAAAATAAATAAAAAAATAATAATATTAAGGGCTTTAAAAACACCCTCAGGGGTCTCCATGGAATGGCAACATTTGCAAACATTGGTGACATAAATTCCCAAATCAGCTATATTGGCTTTAAGTTTGCAGGCACCAAGCTAACTTTCAACAATTCACAAGTTAGTGAATACCTAGGACTGTACTGATAGTAGGACTCTTCTTAAAAAATATACAAATAAGGATTGTGCCAGTTAGATTAAAATATTGTCTTTATTCATGACAGGGAGATTTTAGCCTCATTGCGATACAGTGAAATAGTCAATAACACTAACATGCCAGCCATCCTGATTTCCACTAAATATGTCAGAGAGACTTGACACATTTAGAGACTGGATTCTTGAATTGAGCATTTTACAGCTTACATTGTTATTGATGGATGATCAAAGGACTTGTCTCTTGCTGTTCTGATCTAATCCACCTGCCACCTAAGCAACTTATTGTGTAAAATTTTTTTAAAGGAGATGTATTGTATTATCATCATCATCATCATTTATATAGCACCAACATATTCCACAGTGTTTCACACTTATAGAATGAAAAATTTAGAGGTGAAGAAGGCACTGTTCAAAAAGCTTACAATCTATGAGGATCGGAGATAGGCAGATATACATCGTTAGGGGTCTCGCTCAAGGACACTTACAGGTGAGAAAATGTGATCGAGATTCTAAGGCAGTAACGTTACCACTGCTCTAAACAGCGGATGCATTTATTTCTATAACATGCCATATAAGACACACACACACACAAAATCAGCATTCTTACACGGTTTAGCTCTTGTAAAGAGTGCAAAACAAAATGCACATAAAACACCATATTAGGATGTAAATATTTTTGTTGACTACAGAACAAATATCAAATTAAATAACATCTGAGAGTAGCTATGTTACATTTTCTAAAAATAGCATGGCTCAATATGAACATATACCTACACAAACAATTCACATTTCAGAACATACAAGTGACCTTTAACAGCTTAACCACTACTACCTGTAAGAGTTTTCCTCAGCTTTAAAACACTGCACCATTATTACAATACTATACAAGGCACTGAAATTGCACTTTTATACATGGCCAACAAATTAAAAAAATCTAATAACCAACTTCAAAGAAATATAAAATAGTTAAAATATTATACAAAAGTAGGTCATGTCCTGACAAAAAACAAAAAGTAACAGACCATTTAGACAGCAACAGTGAGCATAAATCATCAATTTTCAAAGCGCAAAAGTGTCACCTTTTTAAACCATAAGATCTATCACAAAATAAATAATTAAAAATATAGATGCGCATTATTCTTATAAGATTGGTAAAATACACAAGCGGTTTGCTTTATAAGAGCTAAATAAATACTCCATAAAAGCAAAGAAACTTACTAACTTTGCATTATCATTTTAATTACAGGAATTGTATTAACTACGAGCTGAAATATCCCATTCTCATAAAATACGTCTGCAATATTAGTCCTGAGCGGTTTACTTGACTCAGTGAGTCTTATGAACCCGAATGAATGCTCTAATATGAATTTGATTGCCAAGCAAAAATAATGTTTAACAACATATTTCAAGAACAAATGCAAGCAAAATAAAATTATTAAAAACAGGAATATTTTAAAACAAAAAGTCCTTAAACAATGTAACTTAAGCTAAACAATTCCTAATGAAAAAAGTCGTATAGTACACACTTAAAATCTTACAGAAAAAGCAAACCAAAAAAAAATGCTAGGCTATTAGCTATGGTATTATTTTATAAATAACATGCTAGGCATTCATCAACTTTACAATGGAATGATGCACATTTTTCTATTATTGTGTAGTGCTATTGACACACACACACACAAAAAAATAAATAAAAAAAAATTAGATTTCACCACAAAACTTCAATTACTTTGTAATTTAGTAATCAGCAAAAAAAGGTAAATAAAAATGGTTACATACCTGCAGTTTGGAGGAGGATCAAGGGTTATTTCAGCTAACTCCTTCTGAATTCTGTAAGTAAAATGAGAACAGAAATACAGCATTTCAAACACAGTCTGTAGAATGAATCGGGGAATTACACTGCCCTCTACCATGATGTTGTTAAATGCAAGATTGGCTTTGCCTTCAGTAACGATAACATGGCTGCTTCCTCTTTGTTCTCCGAGGCATAACCCAAATCCTACAAATAGAGGAAACTTGCAGCTGTATTCTAACACCTACAGTGCAGTAATGTAGTTCACAAACGTAAGGGACAGAAAAAGATCACATCCACGTGCTCAGAAAAGTGAATGACATTTGAAATGAGACACTATTTATCGGATAGATTTCCTTCTAAAGCTAATATGCAAATTAGATAAAAAGGGGGGGGGGGGACTTCAGTATATTTGACACTGACTTTAAACCTGTTACAGTGCTCTTACAGAGGCAGTATTAACAAGCTGTAACATAAGCAGTGAAAGCTTTTTGACAGATTGTGCCCCTATTACTATTTAAACATCATTTAGAAAAGAATGCCTACCAAATTTGCTGCACTCCTGATTAAGAGTTCAGAACACATTTTAACCAAGCTTTGCTTAAATGTTTTATAGTTCTTCCAGGGAAATTAAATTGCTGAAGTAAAAATTCTAACAAGTTGGGCTTCTAAACAAAAAAAGGAATATATATTATATATAATATATTTTGATCTCAAATGGTTCCTTTAACATTCACCTTTTAAAAATATACATATTCTATACAGAAACAGAAAAAAACATTAAATCAAGCAGCATAATGCAGACCAAATGACATTTAGATGACCACAAATATCTTTTGGAGCATCTACACAAACTCACTACATTATTCCCAAATATATCTATCATGTAGAATATTTTTTTTATTAACAAAAGTCTACTTTTCAGCCTAGGCAAAGCATATATAGACTCTACAATTAAACATTTGGCTAACACACAACTATATGATTACCCCTACCCCCTCCAGCCTGTGTTTGGGGAGGGGGGGGGGGAGAGGGGGGAGGGTTAAAGAAGAAAAATGCTTGAGGGACATGTTACTTATTAGACAGTGTAAAAAAATAAATAAAACAAACAATTAGCTCACTTAGGTGTTGGCTTAATTTAATCTAATTCTTACTTCAGAAAAATCAAAGAACAAAAATTACTTAATTGAAATATGAATGAATCCCTTAATAAAAATGTTAATATTTAAAAACAAATTAACCTGAATGACACTTGACAAAATTAACTTGTTACACGTGTCAAAAGTCAGGAAGGCATTTTGAAAACTTGTATGGCTGGGATGGCCAAACTACAGATGAGGAGCTACCACACATTAAAATACTCAACTTTAGATTCCAAAGATTTTAAGAAGCTGTGGATATGTGCAGAGAGGTATACTCTTTAGCTTTGTGGTAAAATGTGTTCTAAACTGAATTGCATAGGTCATACTGCATACAGCACAATTTAACATTTGATGATGGGTTTACATCACATTACTGTATTCAGTACTTATTAACTATATTACTGCTAGACAGTGCAAAAGACACCTCTCAACTGGCAACAAGCTGAGAGGAGACATGAGTTGAGATGTGAACAATGTGCTGCTGACAGAAACGTATGTGCTGGCTTGCAATGACTCTAAGTGCCATATATGAATAGTAAGTCTCTGGGAGATTTAAAAAGTGGTTTGGAACAGTAATGTTCACGTACTCTAAAAACAAAATGGGATAATTAGGAGCATTCCATGTTTCCATGATATTTGCCCCACTTTTAGATTTTTACCCGATTTTCGCTAAGTAAAACAAACTTCTTCTGAAACCTATTTGTGTACTTAATAATAGCCCTGAGCAAAAGGGATTAAAAATCTAGTTTCTGTGCAAACAATTCTATATATGTGTTGGTATACAAGCTAAACCATAATAATTAAATAATCAGAGTGCAATCTTTAAAAAAAAAACAAAAAACAAAAAAAAACACTAAAATCTAAAACGTTAGGAGTCAGCACAAACATCTGGCATTCCTAAAGTTTACCAGAGAGCCACATACTATAATATTAAAATGGACACCACTGGTAGACTTAGATGCACTGTATAGATCAATTTACAGTTTGTTATGCAAACTGATTTATTAATATTTGATCCCATATGCCCTCCTTTTCCTACCTTTCCTCTCAAACATAACCATCAGTATTTCCCTTTTTGCTCCTAAATTCTACTTTAATGAAGCAATAACTTATATAACTTTGAACTTTAGTTCAGCTGACCGCTATCTGCGTAGAAACTGACAGGTGAACTGCTACTAATAGAAGCCCTTGTAGTGCCCATTGAGCCCTGATTGTAGTATACACAGTACTGGAGAAATTTAAAGTCAATTCTTCATTCCCTGATTACAGCAAACTCTATTCAAGTAGTTACAGAGTTAGTAGTGCAATGGGGGTACGGTAAAAACATACTTCACTCCATCTGCAAATTTGTGTCCACTGGGGACATTGCAAACCCATGGTGGTCCTGATGACCTAAGCACACTTGACATATACAGACCATTCACCAGTTCAGGGAAACACTTGGACTTCCCTCCTATAGTGATGTAAAGGTGAATGTGAGGATGGCACTCAATGGAAATATGCACATTATTCTCTGGTTGTGCCAGGACAGCTACACATACAATATAAATTAAAAAAAATAAACTAGAATTTGTTCTAAATAGTAGCACAATCCATAAGTAATTTCATAGCCCAACTGTGCAGAAACCAAGCACAAAAATTCCACTTTAGGTGAGCCTAGGTCTTATCCTGGTTGAAAGCACAGCAATGCAAGAACTTTAAAATGGCTTATTATTTTAAAATGTATTGTTTTAGTCAATTTTTAAAACTCGTTAACATGCATTAAAATGAATACGTCATATCCAACCTAAAATGTCCTTTTAAACATGTGTATGTATCACCTTATTACTTCTGACAATGATCTCAGGATCTAACCTTTTCCAGATTTGTAGTGCAGATTGGTTATATGCACGTTTCAATACCTAGTTACAAAGCAAACATTGTACCTCAAACATATTTAAAAAAAAATTGTAAATGTTCTGGATCTTGCATATGCAAAAGTAATACACTTCTTAAAGTAAAGTGTTGACTGGCTGTCTTTTAACCGCTTTACAGCAAAATATAACAAATAAATAAAAATAAACCAAACAGAAACCGTAAAGTTACAAATGTGCATTTTGTCTCAGTCAACAGTGCTGTACATAGTGTACATAATGTATATTGCTTACTTTGACGGATCAAAAGTTTGAGTCTGATGAGCAGAAAAATTAAGATTTTTACTAGTCAATTCCTGAGTATATGACGGATATAGGACAAAAAAGTAAAATTCAAAAGACTTTTGTAACTGCTGATTGGACATCAGCATGAAAAATTTAAAGATCACATTTTCTGGTAAAGGTTGTGAACTATAATATTTCAAAATCTGGGGCAGACACAAGTTGTACATGGCAAATTAAAAAAATAGAACCAAGCGATTTATTTCACCTGGAATAAACTTGCTTTTACAAATGCTTGTTGAATGATGTATGAAGCAAACAGATCTGCCAGAACTTAGATACAACTGCAGATTTACTGTTAAGTATCACACAGTGGTTGCATGGATACTCAATTTGATATTCTAAAGAAAATGACTATATACACATAACAAGCCATTAAATCTGTTATAAGTAATCCATGGAATGACTAATGATGGTCCAAAAAGGCCCTTATATAGATTTAACACAGATTTATTTTTCCGTAAGTCCAAAATCTGATGTAAAATCAGTTGGGTTGGTACTTGACTGACACTCTAGCATCCTAACTTAAGTGCTTGTTCATCAATGTCCAAGCCCAATTTATCAAAGGGTGGCTATTGTACAAGAGAATTGCACCAATTTATGAAAGGTCTTTTGTGGCCTTCTGCGAGTACACTGGAAGTTTTATTTTTCCATTCACATCCTGTGGCATGTCTATTTTTTTCCTTTGCCCATTACCTTTTAGCACTAGTGGATAGTTTAGCAGTGGTTTTACTGGATAATTTGGTATTTTTCTTCTGTTGGACCGCTGAAGGTTTTCTTTCTTCTTGCTCTTCTGGTTCAGGCACCGGCGGGTCCCTCTGATCAGCATCTGAACTACCACTGCTGGTACTTGGACTTTCGTCATCTGACCTTTGCCTATCACTTGACATCTTGATGGACTATATTTATACGTAGTATAACCTGTCAAAGGAAAGACGAATGAATACTTTCAAAATCAACTTTATCATATCGTAACGACAGCTACAATCAATTCAATTACACAGAAGAAAGATGACACTTTAATATGGTTTATAAGATAAAAATTACTGTAAGCATTAGAAATGCTCGCCCCACAATACCAAAAAAAAAAAAATTTAAAAATCTGTTTTTGAAAAAAGGTGCTTCCATGGTATTTAAATTCTAAACTAACAATAATTGTGGTTTAATGTTTAAATAAAGCACCACAGTCCCCCATTCAATTTATTAGACAAAACAAACACTGATTAAGAGACCTCTCAACGATTGAATTAAGTCACACCGTTTATAACTGATATATATATATATATATAAAAAAATATATATATAAAAGCAAATGCAACAAACAAGCTTTGGAAGAGAAATGTGATTCCCTTGCTATCAACAAAGCTGCAGAGGAAAAAAAAAAAAGAAGTATTGGGAGAACTCCAGCCAAAGGGAAATAATAACTTTTGACATATACTGTAAATAGCATAAGTCACTAATGCCTTGTAAATATTTACACTGAGGCGTTTGACTGTGTTGTGGTATCTCCCCATTTAATAACCATTTTCAGATTGATGTCTTTAACCCCTCTCACTGATAGCTGGGGCACTCCAGCCCCCCTTCCTTGGCAGCCAGTGTTAAGGTGTGTGAAGGGGGTTAGGAAGGAGGGGGGCTGGGGGTACTTTAACCCTATTTATAGCTCTCTCTCTCTCTGTGTGTGGGGGTATAATGTGATGGGTTATTGGGGGTATCTGCCTGTGGATGGAGCACACTGCCAGCCAATGCTACTGTTTGCAGACAGACATTTTGACCAAAATGCCCCCCCCCCCCTCCCCCCTCCCATTGCTTACAGGAGGGGGTCGGGGGGGGGTATGGCAGCCGGTTTGAGGACAGGGCTGGGGGTGTTGAAGGTGAGGGGGGGGGGAAATCACACACGGTATGTGGTTATGGTGGACCAAGTGAAGTCAGTTCCAGCCCCCCATTCCCCTACCCCCCCCATACTCTCCCCCCCGGGGGGGCTGAAACCGAGAACAAAGCTCGCTCCCTGCCCGCCTTCCCTCCCCCGTGCCACCGCCGCGTCCTCCTCCCTCACCTCCGGAGCGGGTCCCGTGCCGAGCCTCGAGCCGATGGACGGTGCGGCGGGGAGGGGAATCCTGGAGATAGCGAGCCGGGGGGGAAACGAGCAGGCTCCGGCCGGCTGCCGAACATTGAGAGTCGGAAGAAAGGAGGAGGGGGGGGGAGGAGGATGGCGGGGGGGGGGAGCAGAGCTGGCTGGGTGTAGTGCGGTATCGCTGGCGGCAGGTGGCGCTGTTGAGTTCGGTGTGGGAGGAGGTGAGAAGAGAAAGGGGGGGAGAGCAGCGAGAAAAAAAAAAAAGAATGTCGGGCGCGTGCCGCGGCCGGGAGATGGCGCGAGGTTAAGCGGCGCGAGAGGGTTTCACATAGAACTTTATTACGACAAACCCCCCCACCCCTCCCTCAGCTTCTTACTTCCTCGCGGTCGTCAAGCCCCGCCCCCTCTTCCTCCGCTGCAAAACGGTGAAGTCAGCAAGTTCCAGCGCGCGCGCCCGGCTGGCCGCGAGAACCCGCGCTTTCCCTCAGGGAGGAGGGCACGCGGTCCATCACCCCCACTTCCCCCCACCCAATCCGTGTTAGACAAGGACAAAGAGTTTCACAGGCTATCTACCCCCTACTGGGGCAATACCTCCATGGGGCAAATGGACTGAGGGTTTATCCCATTATGAGACCAGGGAATGGGGCAGAGCTGTAGTTTAATGAAAGCCATTAGAGATGAGGTGTGAAGGGACAGCAAGGGTTACTGTGTACAACTGATAGAGCATGGGGAAATAAGGGAGAGAGAGGGGTAAATGAGGGAAATAAGGGAGAGAGGGGGAAATGAGGGAAATAAGGGAGAGAGGGGGGAAATAAGGGAGAGAGAGGGGTAAATGAGGGAAATAAGGGAGAGAGGGGGAAATGAGGGAAATAAGGGAGAGAGGGGGGAAATAAGGGAGAGAGAGGGGTAAATGAGGGAAATAAGGGAGAGAGGGGTAAATGGGTGAAATAAGGGAGAGAGGGGGGAAATAAGGGAGAGAGGGGGGCAAATGGGGGAAATAAGGGAGAGAGAGGGGTAAATTAGGGAAATAAGGGAGAGAGGGGGGGCAAATGGGGGAAATAAGGGAGAGAGAGGGGGTAAATTAGGGAAATAAGGGAGAGAGAGGGTAAATTAGGGAAATAATGGAGAGAGAGGGGGAAAATGAGGGAAGGAATGGAGAGAGGGTAAATGAGGGAAAGAATGGAGAGAGAGGGGGTCAATAAGGGAAGGAATGGAGAGAGGGGGTAAATAAGGGAAGGAATGGAGAGAGAGAGGGTAAATGAGAGAAGGAATGGAGAGAGGGGGTAAATGAGGGAAGGAATGGAGAGAGGGAGTAAATGAGGGAAGGAATGGAGAGAGGGTAAATGAGGGAAAGAATGGAGAGAGGGGGGTAAATAAGGGAAGGAATGGAGACAGGGGGTAAGTGAGGGAAGGAATGGAGAGAGAGGGGGTAAATGAGGGAATGAATGCAGAGAGAGGGGGTAAATGAGGGAAGGAATGGAGAGAGGGGGTAAATAAGGGAAGGAATGGAGAGAGAGGGTAAATGAGGGAATTAATGGAGAGAGGGGGTAAATGAGGGAAGGAATGGAGAGAGAGGGTAAATGAGGGAATGAATGGAGAGAGGGGGTAAATGAGGGAAGGAATGAAGAAAGAAGGGGTAAATGAGGGAAGGAATGGAGAGAGAGGGGGGGGAAAATGAGGGAAAGAATGGAGAGAGAGGGTAAATGAGGGAAAGAATGGAGAGAGGGGGTAAATGAGGGAAGGAATGGAGAGAGAGGGGGTAAATGAGGGAAGAAATGGAGAGAGAGGGGGTAAATGAGGGATGGAATGGAGAGGGGGTAAATGAGGGAAGGAATGGAGAGAGAAGGGGCAAATGAGGGAAGGAATGGAGAGAGAGGGTAAATGAGGGAAGGAATGGAGAGAGGGGGTAAATGATGGAAGGAATGGAGAGAGAGGGGGTAAATGAGGGATGGAATGGAGAGTGTAAATGAGGGAAAGAATGGAGAGAGAGGGGGTAAGTGAGGGAAGGAATTGAAAGAGAGGGGGTAAATGAGGGAAAGAATGGAAAGAGGGGATTAATGACTTTGGATAATGTATGATTCAGAACATGGGTAGCCAAACGGCGAGTCAGTTGGAGAATTGCAGTTACACACACAATGCTCAGCCATTCTTGAACTACAACTACCATTATGCTTTGCAATTCTTAAACTACAATTCCCACGATATTTTGCCTGCTTTGAACTATAATTCCTTAAATACGTTGAGCTGCCTTATTATTTTTGCCATTTTTATAGCTCCAACTTATTCCACACCATTGCCTCACTACATGAATTACAACTCCCACCTTGCTTTGCCTGCCCTTAGAATGCTTCGAGGGAGTTGTAAATCTGCAAAAGAGGAGGATTTGCATTTTTTAAATCCATTTTTTGTATCCATATGGTGGCTTTTGCTGTGCAACCTGTAAAGGTACTATTGGCGTTATGAATATCAATTGTGCTGTTCTGAAAAGTGGTCTAAAGTACTAAAAGTGGCGCAGTCACCATGGAAACTTGTTGAACCTGCAGCCACATTCCATAGGTGACTCCATTTTCTGTGTTTGAACCACTTCTTATACATAGAACCCATATGTATTGATATTTTTTAGCGAGGCGAGGGAGCCACAAAATTAATTGATGCATAACAGAATGTGAGGGCTTCAAAATCTGCTTCATCAAGATAGATAAGAAACCAGAATTACAGCATGGAATACAGTGGCCTAATGTGTGAGAGACGTTTAAACAATTGTCCTACTTGTGTATAAGTGTTAAAAATATTTATTTTTATATATCATAATAATTACAGTTGCCTAGCCATATTTGTCTCCCTTCATTCACCTGCTAGAAGCCATTGTTAATTTCAATCCTTTCTCGTCAATATTAAGGTTTCCACACTGCCGTTTTTCGTGGTATGCTTAAGAATGCTGCTAGATGTCGGGCAGTTTTAAAAAGTTCTACTAGTCAGTATGTGGAATAATTTTCAATGAACATTACACACACATAAAGCACTTCAGGATAAGCTCATTTTAATTACAATTCATAAAATCGCTTATTTCTATTTACCTTTATGAATAATTGCAGAAACACATACCCAGTTGTCAATCAGACAGCCAGGGAGGTTATCTTCCCTATTCCATTAGCTAAACACAGCTAATAGAAGTAGTAGGAGTGCTCTGTTAGACAAAGCACACCTGCCTTCTCCCACAAGTTGCAAAGTGCTTGTGTGCGCATGCCCACAGGGCTCATTTTATCCTACCTGGAAAGCCGCAAGCTTGCAGCTCAAAACCAATGGCTTCTGAATGACCATTTACAAATGGGAGGATTTGGGCTGCAGACAAGAGATCTGGAGCTTTTGCATGCTGTTTTTCGATACATCCCCCATTTTCAAGAAAATGAATAAATAAATATGTTTTTCATTTGTGGTATATCTACTAAATAGTGTTTATAATTATTTTGTTGTTTTTGACCAGTAAAGGAAAACCATGCGTACCACTGTTCGTTAACGTTTTAACCCCTAGTGGTAAATGAGTGCCTGAGGACTTCCTTGCACCATAACAACTTAATTCATAGAAATTGTTAAGGTGCTTAACCTGTCAGTGACTCCCAGACCGAGGCTTACTGATTCAAGCCTTAGAGTGCTTCTGAAGTTCATGGTATGAGTTAACAGGCGCAGAATTCCAGATTGGTTTTAAACCTTTTGTTAATGGTTTGATCCCTTGATGAAAAGCCATCTCCTGGAGACCTTCAAGCACCATAAAAACATAATTCTGAAAAAATTGTAAAGACATTGCAATGTTAAGTATATATTGTGCTATCCAAATTGTTTGTATGTTCAAAGTTATGTAATCTTGACTTCAGCTTCGCTGCTACACTGGTGACTGCAAGCCTGCTAATCTGACCAGACTAGCTTGATGAAGACCTGGGTACAGGTCGAAACGTTGCGATGTCCATTAAACCTGCTTAACTTATCACAGTGAGTGCCTGAGATTTTTTTCTTTGCAACTGACTAGAAGGCATCTTACAACTCTTAGTGTGCAATTGTATGTTGCAGCTATGTTCATTGTGTAGCAGCACTGTGTGTACATTAAATCTATACATACCTGAAGGTGAACTTGTCGTCCACACTCTTTGTGGATGACAGGTTAACTTTAATTATGGTTGTTCCTTTGGGATCACAGTCATGATTAATTGATTTTGTTCTAACTGCACAGGGATTCCTCATCTAGCAAGACTTGCAGCTCAGCCCACCAGAATGCAGAACTCTCAAAAATTATGATATAAAAAAGAATAGCGAAGTTGCAACCCGAGTCAGCCCACATTTAATTTGACCAAGACGTTTGCATCCGTCCCTTCATGCTCTGCATGAGCAATTCATCAAGCTGTTTGCAATATGATGTTTGAAGTGACAGATTTCATTTTATGTGTATAAATCTAGATTGTAAGCTTATTTGCACAGGGCTCTTGTCACATTTTGTTGTACTACACTTAAAAATATGTTGGAGCCATATAAAGAGTAATGTATACATGCTCACTAACCTGGATCACTACCGTATTATCCATTTGATTACTTGAAAAATTTCTGAAGAAGCTAGCTTACTATTTTTACAGGGTCTGTTAAGCACCTATTTTATTTTCATGTTGTCCAGCCTCACTAAGTTCTAAGTAATGTCTCTTTTGCGAATGCTAAGCAAACTGAAAATAACACAATCTACATATATAAAGCATATATATATATTTATAAAAAGTTGTGTAAAAACAATAAAATAGTTAATAAATGTGCAATAATCAAGACAATTTACACATAGCTCTAGCCACAAGGTCGAATAGTACAATACACCCTCAAGGCTAATGTTAATGTCTGTGTTGATTAATTGTCCAGAGATCTCTTACCGCCCCATAGCTCAGATTGACAAACTCCGTTACGGACCAAATGCGTAGACGCCTTGCTGTGATTACTGATTCCATACTCTAAAGGCAGCACATTTCCTTGCACACTCTGGACTATTAGCTAGTGTATCAACATCCTGCTCCTCATTTGCCTCTATTATGGCCACAAAGAACATCAGTTATATGGTGTTATATTGTTTCTGTGAACATCCCTTTATACAGCGAATCTCTTATTATAAGAACATTAATGCTATTCTAACATCTACTGGATTTAAAGAGGATCTGCATTCTGTACAGCTGTCAATTTGAGCTATTGGTCAAGGTGTTCAAACTTTCAGAAGCCATAGCACTACTGCTGATGGTGGATTGCGAAACAGGACCTTACCTTCCCTCAATTATGTCTTCGGTTTAGTTTGCAACATTGA